AAGACTCCATCCATTGCTTCATGTCACGTACAACAAAGGTACTCTCAGAACTGGAGTTACTGTACTCCGAGACACTGTCCCACGTGCAGTGTGCAATATAAATGCAAGCTGTTGTCATCGTTGTTGCTAGAAGCCAAACCATTGACTGAACAACATACTCATGCCTTTGCACATTTTTTTTCTTCCCCGTAAACATTTACAGAATAAGAACATAGCTAGGCATTTATTTCTTTGGTGAGATGAAGAAAGCCCTTTTACCCCATCCTATCTCATCCCTCCAGAACAGCCATCCTACCATCCCCTCATCACAGCATCAAGCTACTTTTTCAATGAGTCCCAGTGTTCTGGCCACTCCTAGTGACCTGCTCCAGTTATTAATTATCTTAAGTCCCTGTTAAGCAGAGACCAGTCCAACAATATTGCAGTGAATCGCAAAGTGGAACGAACACAGAACCTAGAGAAATTTGCTTCACCATTCCACAGTGCGTGGAGAAAGGAAACACAATGAAAATCCCATGACACTCTTCGAAAAGAGAAGCCAGTTTCTCCCGGTGTCCTGGCCAATGATTCCCTCAAATAAAATTGGTCACTCATTTCATGGCTGTTTGTGGGACATTGCTGTGTGCAATTTTGCTGCCGTGTTTACCTACAAATACACTTTATTACGCTTTGACGATGTAATAAGGCACTGTACACAATACAATTTATATTTATACAGCGCCTTTCATGTCAGGAGGACATCTCAAAGCGCATCAAATGTCAGTTGTCATTGTTTCAAATGCAAGGATTGTTATTATAAGGTAGCAGTACTTGAGAGGTAAGTGTATAAATACATTTGCACAAAGTCAGGAAGGCTTGATTAACCAAGGTACAAATAACGCAACATAACAAATAAAATAACACACGTGGTCCCACAATAAATACCTCACTTGGACGTGCACGTTTCTGCATTTCACTGTAACATTTGAATCAACGGCACCAGGGCTACGAAACAGTGCAAGGCACGCAAGTGGAATTTGCAGGTTTCAAGCAATTTCAATAAGGCCTGTGTCAGCAATGTTTGGTACAATAGGGGTCAGCAAGGGGCAGGCAAATGAACATTGCATTCTACTGGCCCTCTGACACAGCTTTTGCCAATCGTACCGAGGGAAGGCATTGTGAGTCTGGCGTGCTCACGTAAGGAACTTTGAACCCACAGTCCAGGCTGACACTTCAAGGCAGTGCCCTGGATGTGTCCTGTATTGTCGGAGGTGACGCTCTTTGGAAAGCGGGTGCTTTGTGCAATATCGAAGACTTGGAATAGATGAGATATTAATGAATATTTCATACACTACACTATGGTGTCAGCCTGGCTCAATTAGTAGTGCTCTCGCCTCTGAGTCAGAAGTTTATGGGTTCAAACCCCAAGTCGATGACTTTGAACTCATATGAGTCTTGGCTGACGCTGCAGTGCCAGGCTGGGGCGGGGGGAGGGGGGGGGGGCTTCGCTGCGTTGTTGGAGGTGCCCCCTTCGGATGAGATGTTAAACCAAGGTCCCGCTATGTCAAATTCAAGGAGTATTATTATAATATTCAGAAACATTTTGACATATCTCTGAACATTTTTACTCGAGAGGTGAAAATTCAGACACAGAAATAGAAATTTTCAGTACACTTTTGGCTCATTGCATCTGTGTGACTCTGATCTGTTCTACTAAAAACTTTCCAGCTTTTCCCTTTTTACTCAATGCTTTGACTTTTCGGATGCTCATCCAGTTCTTTCATGAATAATTCTGTAAGAATTAACACATCATGTAGTGTAATTTAGCTCCCTATACTGTATATGTTGCAATACACAGGCTGACTTGGTTATAACAACAACCAACAACAAATTACATTTGTAAAGTGCCTTTCACGTCGGGAGGATGTCCCAAGGCGCTGAATATAATGCAGGGATTTTGGCTTCTAAACTCAGACCGAAATGCGTTATTATAGGGGCATAAGTAACAAAATGGTCCCCACTTAGTCCTTCTGGGTTGCCAGGTCACCATCGTCATCATTTCCTACATGCTGTCGTGACCCTTACAAGTCTTGCCCACAAATTACACAATCAATTCACTTCACAGTATAATCCTGTGAAGCGCTTTGAGACATCTCGAAGACTTGATAAGGCCCTATTTCAAATGCAAGGATTATTATTACCAGTGTTTCCAATGGTTGCTAGGGTAACACTAGATGCTGGAAGGCCTCCAAATGAGGAATACAGTTCCTGGAATGTAGCTTGGGTGCCCATTCAATACTGGGATGTCCTTCAGACCTGAAAGGCATGTGTAAATGTTAACCCTATTGCATTATGTTGTATTTCTGGGGGGGTTGGAGATGGGAAATAAAAAAAATAATAATATAATCCTTGCATTTGATATAGCGCTTTTCACGTCGGGAGGTTTCTGTTGTGAAATTATTGGCATTGGTGACCTCCAGTCAATCATTCCAGTGCAGTGTCAGGGTGAGCGCTGAATTATCAGAGGTGCCGTTCTTCGGATGAGATGTTAAACTGAGGTCCCTTTTGCCCATTCAGGTTAAAGAACCCCGGGCACTATTCAAAAAGAGAAATGAGTTTATCCTAGTGTCCTGGTCAACAATTCCCAGATTAAAAATCAATTGGCTATTCACTTTATGGCTGGTTTTGGGAGGTTGCTGTGTACAAATAGGCTGGTGCTTTCGTCTATAAAATATGCAGTGACTATACTTATCAGTAAATCCCATTGAGATCTCATCCTGACGTGAAAGGTACTGTATCAAATGCAAGGTATAATTATTTTATTATTTTTATTAATATTATCACCTATGAGCTCCATGCAGATCAACGATTCCTAAATGCAGATAATTGTGACAGTATTCTTCATAAATGGCTTTAATATATAAAAATACAGAAACAGCTTGTTCCTGACAAAAATACTATATATATATAATATATATACAAAACATGTCTTTTAAAAGGTACTTCCCATTCTGCGGTCTGCACACAGGTAGATAAGGTAGGTAGGTACAAGATTTCCTTAAGTAATAATGTTTCTATTTTACGTTACAGTCCATTAACACAACTAGCAGAAGTGGCTTTACAAAGAAAACATCCGAACCGCTTATATATATATATATATATATGTGTATATACATATAATATATATGCAGGGGGGAAAAATCATTAAAAAAATGGATGTACTAACTTTTATAATAATACATATGCAATAATCCCTGCATTTGGTATAGCACCTTATCATGTCGTTGAGACGTCTGGAAGACATGATTAGGCGCTATATCAAATGCAAGGATTATTATTATATTATTGTTGGAGAAAAGGAAAAAGGAAAGGTGACTTGAGCAGTTATACTCAAAAGAACTATATTCTTATCAAACCTACAGGTAGATTGGGTATGGGGAGGAGGGGGGGAGAAGTGATTATCGCACGAACTGTAAACATATGGAATGCCAGGTCAGGAGCACGATCAATATTGGCCTTCAAAAGGGAACTAGACAAACACTTAACCACCAGCTCGGGTGTGAATCCCTGACTGTCCAGAGTTTTCAGACGTCCTCCTGTGCTATACAAATGTAATTTGTTGTTGTGGTTAAAGTAGTCAGCTACAGGGTACAAGGAAAGGGCAGGTAAATTGGACTGAAAGGATTGCTCTTTGCAAGAGCCAGCACAAATGTGAAGGGCCTAACGGTCTTCTTCTGTGCTGTAAATTTCTAGTGTTCCACATGACTACAATTGGAACATCTACGTACTAAACATACATCAGAGGTAAAGTAACTCTGGTGGAGCGCTCTATTGTCGGAGATGCCATCCTTCAGATGAAACCCCAGACCGAGGTCCCATTGGCCCGTTCGAGTGGACATTAAAGATATATTTGAAAAGCGAAGGGAACTTTTCTCTTCTGGTGTCCTGGTAAATAATTCCCCAGAAAAAAATGATTGCTCTCTTCAATGGCTGTTTGTGGGACTTTGCTCATTTTTCCTAATAAATACACATTCATTACACGTTACAGTAAATCCTGCGGGATGTCCTCTCAACGTGAAAGGTGCTATGTCAAATGTACAGAGAATTATAAGGCGTTCTCTGCAATATAGTCAACTGCTTGATAGAGGGAATAAAACTGCATATAGAATGGACATTTATCCACAGTGATGAAGGTGTGGAAGGTCTTACAATTGAATACAGCGAGCACCAGCCTGCTTCATGCCGCCCCCCCCTATCAGCCCTACCTTCAGCAGTCAGGTTATCAGCCATTCTGCCCCATCCCAGAATTCCAGCCCAGAATCCCTGGGACTCGCTCCCTCCCTTCACTACCCCACTTAGTGCAAGCTTGATCTCAAGACCTATCTCTTTGACTGACTTTTGGGCATCTTTCCCCTCCTCAATCCCCTTTGCTCCCACCGCCAGCCAACAGTGTTAAGCTCCTGATGATTAACTATGATCTAATAGAATAGCAGTCTCAAGGGGCTGAATGTCCTACCCCTGTTCCTACGCTCCTTGAAAGGCAACCAAGAAAGAGACTGGGTAAATTGTACAGTTCACCCAGAAGGGTTGGGGGTGAAGGGGTTCTGTTGTTGGATTTCCATTGTAGAGAAATGAGAAGCAATGTTTTAGATATATTTAGATAAATTCAATTTTACTGCGTTACCTGCACCTGAAGGAACCGATCGTGCAACATCTACCTTCACGTGACCCACAGCACCATGTCACGCAAAACATCACTCCTTAAAACCTCTCCACACACAAAGTGTAAAACAGTCCGCCCTTTGCCTTTATTTAGGAGTTTGTGGTAAGGGGGAGGGAGGGAAGAGAGATAAAGTAATCCAGTCTTAAATATATGGCATTCTTATAAGATTAATATTCAAAAAAAATGTGCAAAAAAACCCAATATAATTTGGGATGGAGCCACGTCATGTCATGTCACCCGGTTCCCAGTCACATGAAGGCTGTTCCGGGTACCAATGCTCATCACGTGACCTGCAGCTGTGTCTATCACGTGTTGTCAGTCACGTGTGCCCGCTGAGAGGCTCTTCATGGGAACGCCATCTGTTCTGGTCCCACAGTTACCTGGCTCAGGGCCGCAGCCCCCATTTTGTAAACTGTTCCGTGTTGAGTTCAGGAAACACCGTGGGTCAGTTGCAGAGGACGGCCCTGGTCACCTCAGGTTTAATAAACAAAGGTCCTCTCTGCCCCCACTGAGGGCCAAGGCTCCAACCGCACCTCAGCTTCCTGGGAAGGGGACGCTGTAGCTGAAACAACGCCCAGCTTGTGAGCTTCTTGTCTCTAGGATAACGGACCTAAAAAACATGCAGACAGACCTTGTTACATTTGCACTCTTGATGCGAAAGGTGCTGTATAAATGTTATAGTACTTTTTACCTACAAAATACACAGTAACAATCACAATATATCCTGTCAAGTCCCAAAGCACTTTGAAACTTCCTCCTGACATGAAAGCACTATATGAGATGAAAGGATTATTATTAGTGGTTCACATTGGGAGCTCGTCTGAAAGTGCTTCACCCTTTACTGTCAAACTGTAGTGACTATGTATTTTGTGGACAAATGACCAACTTTACTAGGGAGATCGTTGGCCAGGACACCGGGAGAGAGAAACTCCATTCCCTTTTCGAGTAGCCAAGGGATCTTTAACGTGTACCTGCAGAGGTACAGTCGGGACCTCAGTTTAAAACATCACATCCAAAGGACGACCTCTGACAATGCAGCAACGGAGCACTGCAATGGAGTGTCAGTCAGCGTGGATTATATGACTTTGCCCATAAACAATTTGAAGAACAATATCAACGGGTTTGGGGGGAGGGTGGCAGTCAGCGGTGATGGCCGAATTTGAGAGCTGTTTGAGAGCGCAGGCAAAGGCACAATTGGTCAAATAGCTTCATTCTGTGCTGTAAAGTTCTATGATTCTACAAACCTTGAGCCCTGACACGGGTCTTGATCTGGTGATGTTGAGTGTTGGGGGTTTTCAGAGGAATATCTGTTAGCGTTCCTGTCGTTTCCTGTACCTTCAGTAAGCTCCAATGTGGGTAAACTGTTATCCTGTAACTCCAGTTGCTTTTTTATTGGACCATTCCAGGTTTTGTTACTGTCCAGGGAAACTCTTTGGATGTTGCTGGAAGAGAAATTGTCCGCTCCGCTATCGGAGTCCTTTGAAAGCGGGGATGTGAGACCAGGCTTTGGTGTAAAGGAGGGATTGACCCCCATGTTCCACTGATTGAAGACATGGCCACGGGCCTCAGGGTGAAGGTGGTCTATCTCACGGCCTCGCTGGGTGGGGGTTGGGAACAAGGTGCCCTGAAGGATTCTGTAAAGGTACCTGAGGAGAGAAACATGAACATGGCTTTGTGTATTATTTATCTCAGGAGTAAAAGACAATATTTAATTATTTAGGCAGTAACAGGCAGTACTTATTTACCTTGGGAGGGAGCAATAGGCAGTATTTATCTACCGCTGGAGCAATAAGACGGTATGTATTTACCTCTGGAGTAATGAAACAGTATGGTTGTATGTAGGGAGCTATTTATTGTGTTTAGAAGTAGTTAATCGTTTTCAGTACAAGTGTTTAACTCTATTTAGACATCCAGAGGATCAGTGTGAGTGACTGCCATCAGATCACTTTCCGGGGGCAATAATCCCTCAAGATTTTTTTTTCACTCAATCTACCACTGTTTGTGGGACACTGCTGTGCGCAATTGGCCGCCACGTGTCGCCCACAAAATACACAGTCAATCCACTTTACAGTATATCCTGTGAAGTGCTTTGATACGTCTCAATGACGTGATAAGATGCTGTATCAAATGCAAGGATTATTATTATTTACATCGGGAGTAATAAGATAGCATGTATTTACCACGGGAGTAACAAGCGGTATTTATTTACCTCGGGAGTAATGCTATTACTGGTGTAATAATACAGATCAGGTAAAACATTGGATCTTTCAACAATCTCTGCATCGTCCAGTAGGGATTGGATGGAGGGAAACAGCTGGAACAACCAGCATTATAAATTAAGGCGACTGTCACGTAGAGAAGAATACTGAAAGTGAGGGAGGCCACGTGAATCCAGGTCTGAGAATAGAAAAATACAAACAGTCTTTGAGCATCAGACAATGGATACGTACAATTAACTTATTATTGCACCACGTGGCATCCATACATATTCCTTCCTGCAGGCAGGAATTCTTTCCACTCAGCTCCCGTTAACCCTGCAAACCAACACCCGAACCGGTAAGGTGCTCCGAGCTGGCCAAGCAGTGGGAAAGCTTGCCAGACAGCAATATCAATGGCAAGCTATCCTGGTTTTAGCTGGTTAAACTCCAGTATTTATACCAGGCCTCAGCTCTTGCCAGCCTGTGACTAATAGTCTCTGGAAATAGGAAAGCGAGATGCGTTCCTCTAGGGAGAGAGTGAATATGCCATTCCAATTCATAGAAATTTCCATGTGTAGGTGGGACGCACGGAATTCTCAGTTTGTCTGGATATTCTTAAGTATGGTGACAGCTTTTTGCATGTGTCAGACACTCATCTGACCAAAAAAAATGGCAGATACGAGGCTCAAAGTCGGACACCAAAGGGCAGAGGAAGACTGAATAAATTGGCCTCCTTCATAGAAACCTCTTCTGTTTAAAGCGAAGTGAAGGTCTTGGAAGAGAATTTTATCTTCAAATTACCCTCTGTAGCAACAACAACAACTTGGATCTATATAGTGCCCTCCACGCTGGACGGCGTCTCAGAGCGCTTTACAGTTACGGATCCCGGGGCCGAGCCGGGGGGAAGGTGACCAAAGGCGCGGTTGAAAAGAAAGGTCTTCAGCAGAGACCTGAAAATAGGAAGAGGGGGGGGCGAGGCAAAGGGAGTGAGAAAGGCAGTTCCAGAGCCTCGAGGGATAGTGGCTGAAGGCACGGCCACCGAGGGTGGAGCGGAGGACTCGGGCGACAAGGAGGAGGCCAGACCCGGAGTTGCAAAGGTGATTTTATACTTTTTACACAAATTTACACGGGCGCTTTGTACAGCGCAGACCAGGCCATTCGGCCCAACTAGTCTGTGGCGGTGTTTATACTCCACGTGAGTCTCCATTCCCTTCTTACTCCCACCTCGCGTACCCTTCTATTCACCTCTCCCTCAGGTTTATATATCTAGGTTCCTGTTAAATGCATCTACACTATCTGATTCAACCATTGTGTGGGTCTCTCACATTCTCACTACCTTCTGTCTGAAGTAGTTCTTCCTAAATTCTCTTTTAGATGCCCTAGTCCCTGTCTTATATTTGCGTCCCCTAGATCTGGACTCCCCAACAAGTGGCAATAGTGGCCTATTTACGCTCACCTATTAAACTCTTTCATAAATTTAATTACCTCTATTGGGTCCCCTCTTAAATGTCTCTCCTCTAGTGAAGTAAGGCCTAAGCTAGCCAGCCATAAAAGGACAGTGGCAGCCAATACGCCGTGCTATCCAACTGGTAACTGCTTTTACCCAGAGTCGGGTGATTGGAACAGGTTCCTAAGCTAGTCTGACGCACCAGAACCATCTCACCTGCTCGAGTTAAAACAAAACCGTTCTAATACACCTGTAGTTTTACCTAATCTCATGGAAACATCAGGGTTGGTATTACGGGAGGCGGGGGAAGGGAAGGGGGAATGCACAGGGTGATGATAGATGAACTGAGAGTCAAAAGGCTCAAAAGAGACACTAAGAAAAGTTTCAGGAGCAGAGCAGTACTGCAAGTTCCATTGCATGGATATCTCGCAGCGGAATTGCATGCCCTGTCGCACTAAATGGCAGAGACAGAGAACGTGAGTGTCCAGAGGGCCCCCGCACTTCAATAACCGCACGCACTCACGCTCAACTGCGCGCAAGCAAAGCCGTTCGGGACCAACGTTGACAGGAGGTAACAACGGACAGTTAGTCATTACCCAGGTTTTGGTTTCGATGCACAAATGCATTAAGACAGTGAAGAGAGCCAGTGTGGTGATGGGTGTTCCCCAGGTAAAAACATCAACATCTGAGTCCACATAGACCTACAACCAAAACAAGGAAAATCAGGGTTTGAGACATTCTCTGTTACACGAGCCTTTTCACAAGGCCTTTTAGTCAAATCAGACTTCATAGAATCATAGTATCTTACAGCACAGAAGAAGGCCATTTGTCCCATCATGCCTGTGTCGGCTCTTTGAAAGAGTTATCCGATTAGTCCCACTCCCCCGTTCTTTCCCCTTAGCCTTGCAATTTTTTTTTTCTTTCTCAAATACCTATCCAATTCCCTTTTGAAAGCTACTATCGAATCTGCTTCCACCACCCTTTCAGGCAATGCATTCCAGATTGTATCAACTCGCTGCGTAAAAACAATTCTCCTCTTTTTCCATCTGGTTCTTTTGCCAATTATCTTAAATCTGTGTCCTCCGGTTACCGACCCACCCACCCACCAGTCAGAGGAAACACTTTCTCTTTATTTAGTCTATAACCTCCTCATAATTTTGAACACCTCTATTAAATCTCCCCTTAATCTTCTCTGCTTCAAGGAGAACAATCCCACCTTCTCTAGTCTCTCCACATAACTGAAGTCCCTCATCCCTGGTACCATTCTGTTTGGACTTACCAAATAGGGAATGAAGAAACAGACCAGACTTTGGTAAAGAGCATCAAACATGTTGATCCAGAACATGTATGGCTTGTATTCCTGGAAGAGACAAGGTGCATAGTAACAGCAACAAGAGTAACCCTTCTCATTTCAAACAGTGCTTTGGGATCTACATTCACCTCAATAGGTAGACGGGACCTTACTTTAACATCTCATGTGAAGGACGGCACTTTCTGACAAGACAGCGCACTCCCCAACACAAGACACAGCAATGTCAGCCTGGACTATGAACCCAGATCCTGACCATAGCTTTAGCCCACAATCTCCTAACCGTAGAGAGGAGAATGCTACCAATTCACCCAGGCTTATACTTCACTGAGTCATTTATATTAGGGGCAATTTTTTTTAATTTCAAGATGCTTTGTACACTTGATACTTCGCTATATAGGAAGTCCTCCCGATGTGAAAGATGTTTACAAATGTAATTGTGTATTTTGTATTGTGTATAATCTGTGAAATCATTTGAGATGTCTAAATGACGTGACAAGGCGCTATAGCAAATGCAAGGATTAATATTATTATTATTTACACATGAAATTTCCCACACACGAGCATACATATGCAAAACTCTTAATTTGGTTCGAATACTAATGCTACTAATAATAATGATATTTGCATTTAATATAATGCCTTATAACCTGGTCAAACCATCTCAAAGTGTTTAACCACCTGTGTTTTGTAGGTGAATACAGCAGCCAATCTATATACAGCAACATCCCATAGAGCCACCGAATGAGAAACCAATTATATTTGGGGATTGTTGGCCAGGACACCTGGAGAAACTCCCTTCTCTTTTTGAATAGCTCCACAAGATTCTTTAACATCCACCTGGATAGGCAGATGGGACCTTGGTTTAATGCCTCATCAGAAAGACGGCACATCTGATAATGCAACAGCCCTCCGAGCATTGCATTGGAGCTTAAACCCACAGCCTTCTCACTCAGCGGCAAGAGTGCTACTAATTGAACTAGGCTGACATGCGTGGTGATGGTTTTCCATGTGTGTCAGACACCTGCTCAATATTTATTTAGTGCACCTGCAAATAAGATCATTTCTGTTGTGTTACCTCAGAGTTTTGACCACTTTTGTAGAGGTGAGGCAGGGTAAGCAAGGTCTCTGCCGACACATCCTTATCCAGCACTCCAGTAATGAGTTGAGGGATCGATGAGAAGAGAAGATTAAAGAAGATGAGGTACCATTGGTCTATCATTGCTGATCCCGAGAAGCCACAGAAAAACTGGTACCAGAAAAGGAGGGTGACAAACATCTGTAACAGACAAAACAAAGCACATTTGGCTTGTACAGCTCACTGAACACGGACACGACATTCACCACAGTGCACATGAGCCAGTGTAATAATAATAATAATTTGTGCATTTGATATTATAGCGCATTAACAACAACAACTTGGATTTGTATAGTGCCCTCCACTCCGGACGGCGTCTCAGAGCGCTTTATAGTCACGGATCCCAGATCCGAGCCAGGGGGGAGGGGGAGGGGGAGGAAGGTGACCAAAGGCGCGGTCAAAAAGAAAGGTCTTCAGCAGAGAGGGAAGGGAGGGAGTGAGACAAAGGGATTGAGGAAGGCAGTTCCAGAGCCTCGGGGCATAGTGGCTGAAGGCACGGCCGCCGAGGGTGGAGCGGAGGACTCGAGGGATGAGGAGGAGGCCAGACCCGGAGGAACAAAGGCAACGGGTACTGTTTTGAGGAGAGAGAAGGTCAGAGAAGTAGGGGGTGCAGAGGAGTGCAGGGACTTGAATACAAGGGTGAGGATCTTGAAATCGATCCTCTCTGGGATAGGCAGCGAGTGCAATCTGGCCAGGACTGGGGGGATCGGGGAGCGGAGTTTATCATGTCATCATGATCATGTCGTTGACACATCTCAAAGCGCTTCATAGAATATACTGTAAAATGAATTGATGTATATTTTGTGGACGAAACGCAGCAGCCAATTGCGCACAGCAGTATCCCACAAACAGTCGTGGTTTGAGTAGCCAAATTATCATTTTTTTAAGGGATTATTACCCCTGGAAAGCAATCCGCCGATCGACTAACAACAGGGTTCCTACTTACTGCTAGGTAAACAGGCGTGTGGAGTGAGGAAACTTGCCTAACATTTCGTCCTGCCCAGGAATTGAACCCGGGTCCTCTTGCTTGCGAGGCAAGTGTTTACAGATGGTGGAAAGAGGGAGATGAAGAGGGTCTAATAAATGATTCGGAGAATGGTATGAATTCGGGGAAACAGAAAATGCTGGGTGGAACAAAGAGCATTCCTGGCTTCCTTTTAACATCATCGAGATTGGCAAGCCGACAAAAGCACTCTCTAAATTCCTCAGCAACTCAATATGTTTAACAAACTCTCTCAGGTCTGACATGGCACATCTATGCTATTGCTCTAGTGCTTGTGTCTACACCCTACACACATAATGTAAAGCTACCTACATGAGCAGGCGATTGGGACAAGGTTAAGGTGTAACAGGTATTGAAACGAGGGGAAAGGGGCAGCAGGTAATTGAGACGGGGTAATAATAATAATAATCCTTACTTATAACAATAATAATAAACAGAGCGTGTGGATTAAGGAAACTTGCCCAACGTTTTGCCCTGCTCAGGAATCGAACCCAGGTCTTCTCTAACCACCAAGCTACAGGACTCCAGTTTAACGGTCACAGCACGTCTTGAAGCATTTCACAGGATATCACTGCGACGTGTAGTGACTGTGTATCTTAATAATAATAATCCTTGCATTTGATATGGCGTCTTATCACATCGTTGAGATGTCTCAAAGCTCTTTGTAGAATAATAATAATAATAATCCTTGCATTTGATATAGCGCTTTTCACGTCTTCTAGACGTCCCAAAGCGCTTTACAGAATATACTGTAAAGTGAATTGACTATATATTTGTGGGCGAACGCGGCAGCCAATTGCGCACAGCAGTGTCCCACAGACAGCTGTGGATCGAGTGACCAAATTATTATTATTATTTGTTTTTGAAGGGATTATTACCCTTGGAAAGGCCAATCAACTGAGAAATACCTACTTACTACTGGATAAACAGAGGTGCGTGGAGTAAGAAAACTTGCCTAAGATTTTGCCTCGCCCGAGAATCGAACCTGAGTCCTCTCGTTTGTGAGGCGAGAGTTCTAACCACTAAGCTACAGGACTCCACTGTGCAGCAGAAGGTGGTACGAGTTATTTCATAAGTGAGTTATATCCATTTGGAACGTTTTATTTTCTCCAATGCGAGAAATAACTCTAAAAGACTTCTATGTTATGAGGCGAGGCTGTTGTTTGGATTTTCCCTCCACAGTCCCCACATCTGGCTGAGGGTGTTGGCCACAGTCCATCTGGCAAGTGGTTAACATACCTTCGTTGACTGACAAGACTCAAGCGTTTGGCCCCAAAGCATCACGAGCATCTGCTTTAAGTCAGCGAAGTTTTAGCTGAAGCGCTGGCTAAATTTACTCTCAACATGGACCACGAAACAAAGGGCCCAGTGTCTGTGTTGAGAGACAACAAGTCATCAATCTGCCACACACCTCCGACCTATTGCCCTGCCCACCTCTGGAGGCAGTAGCACTGGAAGCACAAACGCTGCGATGGCACTTACCGCGTTTTTGTAGAAGAAGTACAGCACCATGTTGGCAAGCCTGGCATAGCACCAATGTCCGTGGACAAGCAGGAGTTTTTGCAAGTGACGGAATCGCGCGATGGCAAAGTCGCTCGCCATGACCGCCTGGTGAAACAAAGCAAAATAATCACGTCTCCTCGATCAACAGTAAAGATTTTGTAGCATAATCTAGCACTGGGTTTGGAAAGTTCCTGCAACTCAGGAGGTATCATTCTGCGGAGACAGCGTGGTTTAGTGCAGCATTTACACAACACAGTCTGGAGCAGGCAAGGCTTCAAAAATACTCCTACTACTAATAATAATCCTCGCATTTGATGCAGCGCCTTTTCACACCATTGAGGCATCTCAAAGCGCTTCACAGAATATACTGTAAAGTGAATTAACTCTATATTTTGTGGGCGAAACGCAGCAGGCAAATTCGCAGCGCAGTGTCCCACAAAAAGTGGTCGGTCGAGTGACCACATTTTTAAAAAACAGTAACACCAGCACAAAATATTTTTACAAAAATAAATTTGCAAACAAATTTAATGATAATTGGGAAGGGAGAAAATGCAGTACTCTTAAGGTTCCATGGCTGCCGTGCTTTGCCCAAAAAATATACAGTCGCTCTACTTTACAGTACTCCACCCCCCTCCCCACCTCCACCAGACCCACCACCATCTTCTACCGCCCTTGGAAGAAGTTACCCCCACAATCCCTAACCGATGCCTTGGAGTCCTCTGAACTCCTCTCCCTCTGGCCTTCAACCCTCACCGACCCCTCTTCTCCTCTCTCCCTCCTCCACAATACCCTCTCCTCCACACTCGATACTCTTGCCCCCATCACTTCCCGCACTGTCTCCTACTCCCGCTCCTCCCCCTGGTACACCACCCACCTCCGCTCACTGAAAAGCCAGGTGCGGGCTGCTGAACGCACCTGTGTCAAATCTGGCCTAACGGTCCACCGACAAATCTGGCTGGACCTCCTCAAAATTTACCGCTCCACTCTAGCCTCGGCCAAGTCGTCCTTCTACTCCAGGATAATCCTGGAGGCGAAGAACAACCCCAGGCTACTGTTTTCCACCACAACCCGACTCCTCCGTCCCCCCCGCCACCCCGCGCAGGTCATCTCCTCCAACCTTCACTGCGAGGAGATGCTGGATTTCCTTGAATCCAAGATCAAGGGAATCCGCTCCGCGGTCACTTCCCCTCCAACTTCCACCCACCACCCACCCCTTCCCTCCCACACTCCGACTCCTACCCATCCTCCCCTACACACCTTCGTACCCGTTTCCCCACCCTCTGTCACTGAACTCATCCTATCCCTAAAACCAACCACCTGCTCCCTTGACCCCATCCCCACTCCACTCCTTATCTCCCAGCTCCACTTTCTTGCCCCACATATCACTGACATCATCAACCTGTCCCTCTCCTCTGGCTCTGTCCCCATTCCATTAAAAACTGCCATCATCACGCCCACCCTGAAAAAACCCTCCCTTGATGCGTCGCAGCTATCAAGCTACCGGCCCATCTCCAACCTCCCCTTTCTCTCCAAGGTCTTGGAAAGAGTTGTCGCCTCCCAACTGCGCTCTTTCCTTTCCACCCATTCTCTTTTCGAACCCCTTCAGTCAGGTTTCCGTGCTGCTCATAGCACAGAAACTGCCCTGGTCAAGGTCACCAATGATATCCTGACCATCTGTGACCAGGGCTCCCTCTGTCTCCTCGTCCTCCTCGACCTATCGGCAGCATTCGATACGGTCGACCACGCTATCCTACTCCACCGCTTGTCCTCCCACCTCAACCTTCAAGGCACTGTCCTTGAATGGTTCAGGTCGTACCTTTCTCACCGTCTTCATTTCGTCTCGACGAATGGCTTCTCCTCCACCCCCCGCACTGTCTCATGTGGTGTCCCTCAGGGCTCTGTCCTTGGTCCCCTCCTCTTCACCCTCTATATGCTCCCCCTCGGTGACATCATCCGCAGACATGGAGTTAACTTCCACATGTATGCGGATGACACCCAACTCTACCTTTCCTCCTCTACTCTCAACTCCACGACCACCGATGTCCTGACAGCTGCCTGTCCGACATCGAGTCCTGGACGAGAGACAACTTTCTTCAGCTCAACGTGCGAAAAACCGAGGCCCTCCTGATTGGCTCACGTCAGCGCCTCCGCACCTCAGGCGCTGACACCATCAGCATCCAAGGCTGCACTCTCCACCTCTCAAAGCCATTCAGGAACCTCGGCGTTTTGTTCGACCCTGAGCTGTCCTTTCTCCCTCACATCCGCACCACAACTGGCACCGCCTTCCATCACCTCCGGAACATCGCCAGACTACGGCACTACCTCACCCCTCACGCTGCTGAAACCCTGGTCCACGCCTTTGTCACCTCAAGGCTGGACTATGGGAACTCTCTCCTCGCCGGCCTTCCCGCCACCTCCCTCCACACTGCAGGTCATTCAGAACTCTGCAGCTCGTGTACTGTCCCGCACCAGGCTTCGGGACCACATCACTCCCACCCTCGCTCGCCTCCACTGGCTCCCCATCCCCCAGAGGATTGATTTCAAGATCCTCATCCTCACCTACAAGGCCATTCACGGCCTTGCTCCCTCCTACCTCTCCGACCTACTATCCCCCTACCTACCTGCCCGTACCCTCCGTTCCTCTGGCTCCGGTCTGCTCCACGTCCCCCGCCCCAACCGCCCTACCATCGGTGGTCGGGCCTTCAGCCTCTCAGCCCCCAGGCTCTGGAACTCTATCCCCCAGTGCCTTCGCCGCCTCCTCCCTTTCCTCCTTCAAGGCCGGTCTCAAAACCTTTCTCTTTGACCGAGCCTTCAGCTCCCCTCTCGACTCTCTTCCCCCTCCTCGCTCCCTCCCTTCCCTCCCCTCACCCTGACCATTTCCCCCTCCTCGCTCCCTCCCTTCCCTCCCCTCACCCTGACCATTTCCCCCCTGCTCGGGTCATGACCCAACTGTGCAGCGCCTTGGGACGTCCTCCTGACGTGAAAGGCGCTTTATAAATGGAATCTTGTTGTTGTTGTTGTTGTTGTACATCCTGTGAAGCACTTTGAGATGTCTCTGATAAGGCTCTGTATCAAATGAAAAGATTATAAAGATTATGCACCTTCCATTTCTTAATTATAAAAATAATAACTCTCACATTTGATGCAGCACCTTTCACATCAGGAGCAAGTTTCAAAGCGCTTCACAGAGTTTAGTGTAAAGTGATGTGACTATATTTTGTAGGTGAACGCAACTGCCAATTTGCGCACAGCAACATTTCGCAAATAGCCATGAAGTGAGTGACCAATTTTATCTGGTGGATTGCTGTCCAGGACACCAGGAGAAACTCCCTTGTCTTTTTGGATAGCGCTCTGGGATCTTTCACGTCCATATGAACAGGCGGTCGGGTTCTCGGTTTAACGTCTCATCCAAAGGAAGGCATCTCTGACAATGAGGTGCGCCCCCCAGCACTGTACTGAACTGTCAGCCTATATAAGATCAAAGTCCTGAAGTGAAGTTTGACCCAACAACCTTATGACTCGAGAGTGGCGAGAGTGCTACCCGCTGAGCCAGGCTGGCACCCTACATAACACGAATATATTATGAAAGATTGGAAATATATCCCCTTTATTGCATTATAAATACATGTGGTCCTCTGTGCCAGGTGCTGTTTGAGACACTCGTTCATCATACAAACAAAGCCACAAATAAATCTGGTATTCGAGTGTTCGAGACTGTAAAACTATAACCCTGTGAAGCCTTTGCATCATCAGATATTTTTGGATTCTTCTTTTCCAATCAAACAAAGAAACCGAGTTTTTAGACTTGCTAAACACACCAACACGGGGGTGAAAATTACAATGCCTGATGTGTGAATAAATGTTAATGGAGCTATTTAACAACTCATTCAAAAAAGTAACACATGTTCACTGTGTGATGAATTCATAGACAGTTATATCATTGCCCATGCTGGTGAGAAACTAAAGAAGTAGAACCACCAATAATTCACAGCATTTAGCCCATCGTGTCTGTGCTCTTTTAAGTCCCAATTACCCGCGCTTTTCCCATACTCCTGGGGTTTACCACATTTCAGATACCCTGCCAGATAATGTGGTGAAGGCAGAGTCTATTCTGGGCTTCGTTCAAGGGGGAAGTGAACATGTTTATGAAGGGGTAGAGGCTTGAAAAGGTGTGGGGATAAGGCAGGGCAGTAGGGTTGAAAGCATAGCTTGCTCTGAGAGCTGGTGCAGACTTGATGGGCTGAATGTCTCCTTCTGCGGTGTAAGTTTCTAAAGACTGTATGAAACAAAGTTCATGTGTCTCAGTTCTTCCTAACTGCCAGCTCTCAGTGTGATCGTTAACTCAGTCTGAGTATGAAAGAAATATAACACGGTTGCCGTCAAATTGACATGTGACACTTTAGGGGATTTTATTTTACTTGGGCAGCACATAAATATCATAAGTGGGACCAGAGAGTGAAATTAAAGTATTTTCCAACAGTGCCATGGAATCTTTAACATCCACTTGAACACATAGATATCAGGGACCTCTTTACCACAATGTCCTGTGAAGTGCCTCGAGGCGTCTTGACGACGTGATGATGCACTAATAATAATAATAATCCTTGCATTTGATATAGTGCTTTTCACGTCTTCGAGACGTTTCAAAGCGCTTCACAGAATATACTGTAAAGTGAATTGACTGTATATTTGTGGGCGAACGCGGCAGCCAATTGCGTACAGCAATGTCCCACAAACAGTCGTGGATTGAAAATGACCAATTTATTAATGTTTTTTTTGTTTGTTTTTTGGAGGGATTATTATTATTACCTCAAACTACATCAAACGCAATGATTATCATCAACATTGGCATTATTATTATGATAACAATACATCTTCTATGTATATAATGTGATGAGATGATAATTATAGCAATGTTTGCTTACAAAACGCACAGCCCCTGCACTTTACAATCAATCCCATGAAGCGCTTTGAAATGTCTTCCAAAGGCACTAAAAGAAACCCAAGGATTGAATTTGCATTTGAATGTGATTCTGCTTCGAGTAAAGTTGCCTTTTTTTTTGCTTCCAAGGGTTAGTATTTTTCTCTCGCCCCCAAACACACCTACTCCCCACTTCGCTCCTCCCTTGTGCCTTAAGCATTTCTGCCAGGCAGGAATTTATAAGCGGATGACTGTGTAAAAAACACGGTGCCTCAATAACTAGCAGATGGTGCATAAAACCATTTCGGCTGCAAACTCAATTCCTTTTATAAGTAGCATATGCTGCTGTGAGCAAATAGGAATAGCTTTATGTGCAAAGATCAACCTCTACCCCTGAGGTGCCTCTCAACCCCACAAATTTATCATGCTCTGATGTGGCCCCAGCTAATTTGGGCTCGTTTTAGATGTGGCCATGTAGAAATCATGTAACAGGTTGGTTTTCTCAGGTACACTGTAATAATGCTTACATTTTATAATGCCCCTTTAATATCAGAAGGTCTCAAGGGGCATCACAGGATTAACTTACACTGACTGTGCATCCTGTAGGCGAAAGCAGCAGCTAATTTGCACACAGGCATGTTCCAAACAGCCATGAAGTGAATGGCCAATTTTATTTGGGGGACTGTTGGTCAGGAAAACTGGGAGAAACTCCCTTCTCTTTTCAAACAGAACCATAGGATCTTTAACATCCACCTGAATGGTGAGACGTCTCAAAAAGCTTCACACAATATACTATTCTATTTTATACTGGAAAGTGAATTGACTTGTGTATTTTGTGGGCAAAACACAGCAGCCAATTGCACACAAATGTCCCACGCTTGAGAGGTGAGTGCTCTAACCAATACACTATAGGATATCGGATTAATGATAGGATCTAGATTGGGCGCTTGTATGGAGTGTGAACACAAGCTGGACTGGATGGGCTGACTGGCCTGTTTCTGAACTGTATGTGCTATGAAACTATGAATTTAAAACTGAGCCAAACAGACACTGTCTCTATATAGATCACAAACAATTACCTGTATGCCTTCCTGGCCAGAGATTCCCACTCCCACATCAGCAACCTGGATCATGCTCACATCATTCGCCCCGTCACCTACCATTAATGAAATACAAAATAACATTTGATGTAGCTCCTTTCATGTCGGGAGCATGTCTCGAAGCGTTTCATAGGATATGTTGTAAAGCGTATTTTGTAGATGAAAGCGGCAGCAACATTGCACACAGCAGGATGCACGTGAAGCAGGTCAGTGTTTGCTGAACGACTGGAGCAGACAGGTCTGTAAGGTCGCAGGAGGTGGGTGCAAGACCCTGGAGGGATTTGACAATGAGGACGAGGATTTCGAACTCGATCGACTGGGGGCTGGGGAGCCAGTGGAGCCGAGGATGGGGGTGATCGGCTGGTGTGAGAGAATGCTTTGCAGAATTCTGGTTAGTCTGCAGCTTAAACTTGCAACACATACAGATTGAATGGCCCTCGGAGCTGGGTCGTGAAGCTTAGCAATATTGATGACGACAGCATGGCTGACACCAGCCCTACACTCTGCTGTGCATGAGCAAATGTGCAACTCTGTGTCTCGATGATCTGTGGCTTTGGGGTCATACTCCATCACTATCAAGTGCTCCGGGTGCTACCCCACATGATATATCACAAGAACAGCGTATATGAGGGTCTCAGCGGCCTGCAGTGTGAGACAGTGGCGGAGTCGGGCGATGTTGCGGAGGTGGGGGAGGGCAGAGTGGGTCATGGCACAGATGTGGGGTAGAAAGGATAGTTGAGGGTCAAACAAGACGCCAAGGTGCTGGACTGGCTTAGTAAGATGGAGTGAGCAACCATGGATGGTGATGCTGTCAGCGCCTGAGGTGAGGAGGCGCTGACGGGAGCCAATCAGGAGAGTCTCAGTCTTGTTGATGTTGAACTGAAGAAAGTTAGCTCTCATCCAGGACTTGATGTCTGACAGACATTCTGTCAGGACAGCAATGGATCCTGGAGTCAAGGGTGAAGGCAGAGAGGTAGAGTTGGGTGTCAACCGCATACATGTGGAAGTTGACCCCAAGTCTGCGAATGATGTCACCAAGAGGGAGAGTATAGATGTTGAAGAGGAGGGGACCAAGGTCAGAGCACTGAGGAACTCCGCACGAGACAGTGCGGGGGCTGGAGGAGAAACCGTTTGTGGAGATGAAGTGGAGGCGGTGTGAGAGGTATAATGTGAACCAGTCAAGGACAGAGCCGCGAAGGTTGAGGTGAGAGGAGGGCCGGTGGATGAGGATAGAGTGGTCAACGGTGTTGAAGGCAACAAAGAGGTCTCTAGTAGTACTGGTAGTAACAACAAGATCAGCTCGCATTCATAAAGCTCCCTTAATGCAGGATAGTGTTTTGTGTTGCGAGTCCTATTTTTCGGTAGTCAGGTGATTATTACTGGTGATAATTATAACATCACGTATTTCGACCCCACACCTCACGACACGGGTGACTTGCTATAGGGTGAACAGGAAGAGGAACGGATATACTTGCCTATTGCCAAGGTCATTACTTTCAGTTTGTTCTGAACCATTCTGACCACCATGCTTTTCTGTAACGGCGTGAATCGGCAGCACAGGACCGAGCGGCAGCTTTTCGCGAGCCTGAGGAACTTGTCCTCCAGGCTGTTGTCCAGAGCAAAGCACAGAGTCTTCCCGTCGATCACTAAGCCAAAGCTCGGCTGGGAATTCACCGCAGACACCGAGGTTCTGTTCACAGACGCAATGTCTGCGGAAGTGGCCCCAGCAGTGCTGAAGTACACGTTGCACGGACTGCTCAACCGAATGCGATGTAAACTCTGGTCCAGCAAAGCAGCACAGGCCTCCTGTGAAAATAACACTCACCATTACAGCAACGAATGAGGAAAGAGAACAATAATACTAATAATAATCCTTGCATTTGATACTGTGCCTTATCACATCGTCGAGACGTCTCAAAAGGCTGCAGTGGATTGACTGTATGTGTGCGAAACACTGCAGCCAATTGCGCACAGCGATGTCCCACAAACACCCATTGTTGGCCAGGACACTGGGAGAAACTCCTCTTCTTTTCGAATAGTGCCATGGGATCTTTAACATCTACCTGAACAGGCAGACATGACCTTGGTTTAACGTCTCATCCGAAAGACGGCACCTCCGACAATGCAACCCCAGCCCTAGCGCTGGATTGGAGTGTCGGCTTAGACTGCGTGATTCCAAGTCCTGACGTGGGGCTTGAACCCACAACCTTCTGACTCAAGAGTCGAGAGAGCTACCAACCCCGCCAGGCTGACACATTGTTGGATAAGAGAGGTAAAGTTTCTCGCCCCCAGTAAAACTAGACACTCGCCTCATTGCTGAACATGGACCCCGTTCTTACACGATAAGACAAAAAGATCTTGTCTTTTTGCTAAGGCTCAGACTGGGTGAAATTACAGAGCTCGGGGAGAGGGGGGAGTTAGGATTTGAACTCACACGAGAGTCGGCATTTAGGGTGAGGATCTCCTCATCGTGTTTCAGCAGTCTGCAGGAGTAAGCGATGTTGATCGCTGTCTCCTGCTTGTCTCCTGTGAGGACCCAGATCTGCAACCCAGCTTTGCGCAGGCTCGCAATGGTTTCCGGCACCCCATCCTGCAGCCGGTCCTCAATCCCGGTGGCACCTAGAACAGACAAATCACAGTGGACTCGGAGTGAGACACAGGTTAGTGCAACGACAGACAGTGAGACACAGCTAAACACCCCAACAGACAGCGAGACGCCGGTAAACAAGTCAACAGACAGTGAGCCAACAACAACAAATTACATTTTTATAGTACCTTTCACGTCAGGAGGACATCCCAAGGTCCTGAGACACAGGTAAACACAATAACAGATAGTGAGACAATGGTAAACAATACAACAGACAGTGAGACACAGGTAAACATAACAGCAGACAGTGGATTCGGAGTGAGACACACATAAACACCACAATTCGATCTGTAAAGTAATGTGGAACAATACTAGGAATCCCTGACCTTGGTATCATGGTCAATGTATTCAGTAACACACTGTAATCCTTGCATTGGATAAACAGTAGCTGTTTTGGAGATTAAGGGATATACAATACAATTTATATTTATACAGCGCATTTCATGTTAGAGGCATGTCAGAAAAGCACTCAACACTGCAGATTTCGGCTGTGCGTTTGCTCACAGTCACTACACTTTACAATAAAATCCTTTGAGACGTCCTCCTGAAGTGAAAGGGACTATATCCAAAGCAAGCATCATTAGTGTTAATAATTTTGGGGTTGAAGAATTAGGACATTTCTTAACTGAGGTGAGCTTTAGCGCGCAGAATTTGGTGAAAGAAAGTGTCTCAATTTTCACGCAATGTTTCCGAAAGGGAAGCTGTTTATAATAATAATAATTGTATTAATACTTGCATTTGATATAGCGCCTTATCGTGTCTTCGAGACGTCTGAAAGCGCTTCACATAATATACTGTAAAGTGAATTGAGTATATTTTGTGGACGAAATGTGGCAGCCAATTGGGCGCAGCAGTGTCCCACAAACAGTGGTGGATTGAAGTGACCAAATTATTATTATTATTTTTTATATAAAGGAATCATTACCCCCAGAAAGTGACCCACCAATCCACTAACAACCGGGTTACTACTTACTATTAGGCAAACAGAGGCGTGTGGAGTAAGGAAACTTGCCCAACGTTTTGCCCTTCCGGGAATCGAACCCAGGTCTCTCGCTTTCGAGGCGAGTGCTCTAACCACTGAGCTATAGAACTCCGCTATCGCTCACTCTGCGAGAGTTACTGACATCGGAATTCAAGACAGATGGTCTTGATGCATTTGCGAGACCAAAATTCCTTGTGTGCTGTGCAAACATCTGCTTTCTTTCTTGATGCAGTTCATTATCCAGAGGTTGTCTTTTCCAAGACAATGATTGTCAGCCTGGGTTACAAGAATTGGGTCCACTTGAGTTACGCAGTAAATCTCGAACGCAAGATCACTTTGTAATTCTTGCCAACTTGCTTTCAAGACCTAATGAATCACCGAGTTCACCTCAGGGCTCATGTTAACAGCCTACAGTTACTCATACCTAACAGCTGAAGGTCAGTCTCCAAGTGAACTGCTGACTGGAACAGCAGCTCATCGCGCTTATCAATAGACGATTCCGCTTTTAAATGGTTCTCTAGCCAGCTTGCGTATTCTTCTTTTCTTAGGACCTGTCGCAAGAGGAGAAACAAACACGGAATAACCATACAATGCTTCAATAACAATTTACTCGAAAAACGTTAACGACTTGCATTTACATAGTGCCTTTCATACAGGGCAGGGTCTCGGAGCGCTTAACAACGACGGAGACTGACACCGAGCTGGGGAGAGGGTGAAGGTGACCGTAAGCACGGTTAAAGAGGAAGTTCTTCAGTCGTGATTTAAAACAGGGGAAGGAGGGGGCAAGATGGAGGGATTGGAGTTCCAAAGCTTTGGGGCGTAGTGACTGAAAGTGGGGCAGCCGATGGTGAAACGGAGGGGTGGAGGGACAGCGGGTGGTGAATTGGGGGAGAGAGCAAGTCAGAAAGATAGGAAGGTGCTAGGGCGTGAAGGGAAACAAATGCTATTATTTCAGTCAAAACTTTACTGATAAAGAACAGATCTCAGTCAACTCCGAGTCAGAAGGTTTATGGGTTCAAGCCCTATGTTGGGTGTTGGAACTCACTTAATCTAAAATGGCATTCCATTGTGGTGCTGGGGATGTGCTGTGTTGTTGGAGGTGCTGTCATTTAGATTAAACAGAGTTCCTGTCTCCCTGGTGTTAGCAATTCCACGAGAAAGGAGTTTCTCCCAAGTCCTGGTCAACAATTCCCCCAAATACAATTGATCATTCATTTCATGGCTGATTATGGGACATTGCTGTATGCATATTGGCTGCCGTGTTTGCCCACTTATTCTTTGAAATGTTTCAACAACATGATAAGGTGCTATATCATATTGGGGCGTCCTCCTGACCTGAAAAAAGGTACTATATCAAATGTAAGGATTATTATGATTAATAAATCATTTCCCCCTATTTACCTTCAAAGCCTTGAAGACCTCAATCATATCACCTCAATCTCCTCTGCTTCGGCTGAAAAAGCCCCACTTTAGTCAGCTTGTCGTGATCTGTACATCTTCACTATTACACAGCATCAACTCAGTAAATCTGTACTGCGTTTCCATACAATATCCCTTCTTAATGAGCAGCCCAGAACTGAACATGTGTCTCCAATGGTGGTCTAACTAAAACGTTGTACAGTTCCAACATTCAAGAGGGAACTGGATAAATATCTCAAGAGGATTAATTTTCAGAGGGTTTGCACAGCTGACTGGGAGTCTGAGCTGGGAGGGGGAAGTGGGGATAAGGAAGGTGGGTTTTGAAATGAATCTAAAAGGCAAACCTTAGAAAAAATGGAGTCTTTTATGTAGACTCTAATCACCTGCGTTGTTAACCCTCAAACTAGCAGAAACTCAAACTGTGCCGAGATTTCATCCAATTCTTCAAGGCTAGCGAATGAATGCAATACACACAATGCAAACAATACGTACCCTTTTAGCGATACAAAGAGTTCGAAGTCCATCCTTAGCATACTGGTTTAGATACATCTGGGTTTTGTATCGGAGGTCTCTTCGGAATTTAACCGTGTGGTCATCTTGAAGCGAAAAGCAAGAGTAGGTACATTGGTTAAAAGGTACAATGCAGAAATCCGACATCAAACAATGGACAGTGTTGGTAATAATGATAATTCTTGTATTTGATATGGAGCCTTCTCACATCTTCAAGAGGTCTCAAAGTGCTTCGCAGAATATACTGTAAAGTGTAGTGACTGTATATTTGTGGGCGAAACATAGCAACAACAATTTTTTTTAATCCACCAATTAACTAATACCCGGGTTCCTACTTTACTGCTAGTTAAACAGAGACACGTGGAGTAAGGAAACTTGCCAAACATTCTGCCCTGTCCGGGATTCAAACCCAGTTCCTTCCGCTTGCGAGACGAGTGCTCTAACCAAACTGCTATAGGGCTCCACTCCAATATCAAACAATGGACAGCATCAGTATTAATCCTTGTATTTGATCTGCTGCGTTATCAAAGTGTTAAGGATATGTCAAAGCGCTTCACAGGATTTTATGGTGGAGTCCAATGATGGTGTATTTGGATTGAACAGAGACTCCTGTGGAGCATTATTGGTTGAGCCAAATGGCCTGTTTCTGTGCTGTACATTCTATGTAGATCTATATAAATTTGTAGGCGAACGCAGCAGTCGATTAGCCCACATTAATGTCCTACAAACTGCTATGAAGTGAATGACCAATCTTATCTGAGGAGATTGTTGGCCAGGACACTAGGAGGAACTCCCTTCTCTTTTCAAATAGTGTCACAGGAATTTCCAGGTCCACCTAAACAGGCAGACAGGACGTTGGTGCCTTCATCTGAATGTGGTTCATTGGGAGTTTTGAAAACCACAGCAGCAGCAGCGAAACATCCATGGTGTTTGTCATAACCCCAGTTGCCACTATGTTTAAAGCCTTAAACCTCTTTGACCGGCTTATGGTCAACTTTCCCCATTCCAACCCCCTTGATGCCCAAACCTCACCCAGCTCAGGTGCACAGCTAGCACCTGAAATATGTCGCCCCCCCCCGCCCCCCCCCCCCCACTCACCCACATGCAAGGTATAACATAAAGGTAAACAACAAGAAATTACATTTGTGTAGCGCCTTTCACATCGGCAGGATGCCCCAAGTCATTGGACAGTTAGGGATTTGGACCCGAGCTGGGGGTTGGGATGGGGGGGGGGAGAGGGCAGGGAGGGTATCGGTATGAGGGAGACTGAAGGTTTGATTGAAGAGGAGGGTCTTGAGACGGGCCTCGAAGGAGGCAAGGGAGGAAGCGAGGCAAAGGGAATTTGGGATGGAGTTCCAAAGGGTCGGGGCAGAGAGGCTGAAGGCCCGCTTACTGATGGCGGCAGAGGAGCGAGCTGAGCGGTGGGAACAGACAGATCGATATGGAGTTAGCAGGCCAGAGAGGCCACGGAGGGCTTTGAAGACGAGGAAGAGTAAACTGTATTGTATTAGTGAACACATTTTCAATCTGGCCTTGATTCAGTAAACTGACCCGTCACTAAACCAAAGTGTGTGGCAATTCATCTAACCCAAGGCAACCTTGAGTTTAGCTTGAAACTTGGAGTGCCGGGGATGAGGGGGCTTCAGGTCTCTCTGCATCCAACGTGTAGGTCACGTCTCTGAGGTGACTTTGATTTCTGCCCTAAATGGAGCTTTATATGAGACTTCAGTAAAACAAACCTAGTCATTCCTAACAAATCTCCTCTTTGCCAGTCTTCAACAGTGCATCGATTCATCAGTCTGCACAGGAGTGTGTTTAATTTTAACCTCACTTCTTATTTCAGTGCACTGGCCAACCCATGTAAGAAAGGGCTCAGCAAGGCTGTGCAAACAGAAAGATCTGTACTTTATTTCTTTGAAACAAAACACAGCATAACTTTCAGACACCCTCCCCCTCTCACCCTCCCCCCTCACCGCCTGCTCTTTTGTGGAACTCGCTTTCGAAATCCTTCTACCTTTCTCAGCTTCAAAACCCATCTCAAAACCTCGGTCTTGGTCTCTGCCTTCAGCAGATACATCCTGTGAAGCGCTTTGAGATGTCTCAACGACGTGATAAGGCAAGGATTATTATTATTATTATTTGGCTCTTCACAATCGGGAATTCTCGAGATTGCCCGCCAGGACTTGATGACTCTTGTTACTGCTATCACACACTTCAGCGTTGGCAATGGAAAGACCTCACATGGTTTCTGCTGATATCTCGAATGACAATCGTACCCGTTGTTAGTTCAGTAACCATGTGATCTACAATATAAATTTTCCCCGAAATATATAACTCAGTGAAAAACAGGCGCTGGGCTCACACACGAGAGAGCTGGAATGTGACTGAATCAATTCCATGTTAAAAATAGAAATTCTTTTATATTCCTTCTTTTTTGGTAATTGATTTAATTTCACCGCCTTGGGATGTCCTCCCCATGTGAAAGGCGTAATGCAAATGCAATTTGTTGTTAAGTCGTTGTTGTTAATTGTCATATCCCACAATTGTCACTACAATCTAAGATGACAAAATTCCAATGCAATGTTAGGGTTGCGCTGCGATGATGGAGGTGCCATCCTTTGGATGAGACATTAAACTGAGGTCCCTTCTGCCTGTTCAAGTGGCATTAAACTATAATAGATTCATAGAAACAGGAATAGGCCAATCAGCCTGTTCCACCATTCTATAAGATCATGGCTGATCTGTACCTCAAATCCAATTACCTGCCCTCGCTCCCCAATCATCTTAGATTGTAGGAGTTTCAAGTCCCAACATGGGACATTCTGGCTCAGAGGCAAGTCCAAAACAATACAAGTCCAAAGCACCTCGAGGAGATATAGAGGGGGATATGACAATTAACAACAACTTAACAACAAATTACATGTGGTATCATGCCTTTCACGTAGGGAGGACATCCCTGAGCTAACAAATAGTTATTCATTAATATTACAGTATTTTAATGATAGTTACTGTTGGCAAAGGCTCTGGGCATTCACCTGTGGAACAAGGGCGGAGGAGGTCCATGATGACTGAATCAGCTCCTTTGGTGTAAACCACAATGTCCTGGGTCAGAGGGTGTCTCACCACCACCGACATGCGTTTCCTGGTGGCATCGAAGCCCAGCGTGTGCAGGAGCTCGAACGTTAGCTTCCCCACATAAGGCAGCTCCAACGTCACCTGCTCAGGCAGCCTCCCCACCAGGGCACAGCTATAAGCCCGCGCTGCATACACCAGGGCAGCCTCGTCAGGACTCTCCGCCTCATACCGCAGCTCGCTCTCTTTCACCTCGCCCCCGGGGACCCCGGGCTGGAGCAGATCCTCGCTCTCCTGCCTGGGGGACGAGACTCCAAACCCCTCGCCTAGTTTGAGTGAGTTGACGTCCGGGGAGGGCCAGGATATGGTGCCGGAGGAGACGCGGTACAGAGATTTACCGCTCACAATACTGGCTGAGCTGTTGGAGGCTGAGGTCAGGCGACTCGGGGTGAAGCGCTTGATGAAATCTTCCAGCGTCTTCACGGGAGACTTGAGCTCGAAACGGTCACGCACCTTTTTGGAAAGACAAGGATAAGAACCTTCAGAAGCAACTCTCTAACCTCACCCCTCTTCTCCCCCAACCCCCACACGGACGCACACACACACACACAAACCTGGAAGTCTGAAGGGCAGTAGGAATTGTAAACAAGGCAAGGAAAGATTGGAACGGATGAAAGGAACATTTTGCAAACCTGGCTCAAGTCCTTGTTTGAATTGGATAATAGCGTTACTCTGTGGAGTATATCCTAATGTTTGGCTGCCGCCCAAACACTTGTATCTGAATGGAAATGGAGCACTGGCTCCAAGGAAGAAGTGCACTTGAAGTCGGAATGAGACGTGCGGGACATATACTAATCCTTGCATTTGGCATCGCGCCTTTCACGTCAGGTGGATGCCCCAAAGCGCTTTGCTGTGTACACTGCAAAATACAATGACTGTACGTTTTGTAGGTGAATGTCGCGGCCAATTTGCACACAGCGACACCCCACAAACAACCGTGAAGCGAGTGACTAATTTTACTTGGGGAATTGTTGACCAGGACACCCTTCTTTTTTCCAATGGTGCCATGGTGGTTAGCTTAGTGGTTAGAGCGCTCGCCTCACAAGCGAGAAGATCCGGGTTCGATTCCCGGGCGGGGTGAAAAGTTAGGCAAGTTTCCTTAGTTCACACACCTCTGTTTACCCAGCAGTAAGTAGAAACCCGGTTGTTAGTTGATTGGCGGATCATTTTTCTGGGGGTAACAATCCCTTAAAAAAAATGTGGTCGCTCGATCCACGACTGTTTGTGGGACACTGCTGTGTGCAATTGGCTGCCGTGTTTAGCCCACAAAATAGTAGATTCTGTGAAGCACTTTGAGATGTTTTGAAGACGTGATAAGGCGCTATATCAAATGCAAGGATTATTATTATTATGTGATCTTTAACGTCTGCCTGAACAGCTGGGAGCCTTGGTTTAACATCTCATTCGAAAGACGGCATCTATGACAATGAAGAACACCCCAGCACTGCATTGGAGCGTCATCTTGGACTAGATAATTCCCGACATTAGGCTGGAACCCACAACCTTCTGACTCAATAGTGCTACCAACTAAGCCAGGCTGACAGACAGCAAACTTTACCTTGTGTCGTGGCTGACCAGGTGATGAAACCACCACAGTGTTGCAGACAGTCAACGCTGTTAAAAAATCAATGATGTCCGACAGTTCAGGGGATAGCTGGTTCATTGGCATCCCCTGTCGTCTCAGAGCCTCTAGCTGGCTGGCACATTCGTTCACCTTCTCCAGTAACTGAGGATCAGGCGTAATGTCTTTTTCCTGCAAAGAGCAAATGTACACATATAATATAGTACTTTTACTAATAATCCTTGCATTTGATATAGTGCCTTATCACGTCTTCTAGACATCTCAAAGCCCATCACGGAATATACTGTAAAGTGAACTGACCATATGTTTTGTGGGCGAAATATAAATTGTGAAGGTATTGGAGTGATTGCATACATTTACGATGTGTTGGTGTGGATTTTTCAGAAAGGAGGTAGGAACTTTGCAATGCTCGAGTGGAGTCAACTACAGTGGCACGGGGAAATGGCAGGTAAATGGGACTGGAAGGATTGCTCCTAGTGGAGCGGTACAGACACAATGGCCTGTATAGCCCCTTCAAAAAAATATAATAATTTGGTCAGTTCAATCCACGACTGACTGTTTGTGAGACGCTGCTGTGCGCAATCGGTTGCTACGTTTCGCCCACAAAATATACAGGCAATTCACTTTACAGTATATTCTGTGAAGCTCTTTGAGACGTCTGCAAGACGTGATAAGGCGCTATGTCAAATGCAAGTATTATTATTTATTATTATATTCTGTTCTATCTGGAGACGGAGGGCGGGAGGGAGGGATGGGATGGGAAGGGAGGGAGGGAGGGAGAGCGGGGAGGGAAGGAGGGAGGGAGAGAGAGGAGGGCATTCAGCCCATTGTGGCAACAACGCTGCTTTCAGGAAATTCTCAAGTGTTCGGACACCGTTTTATTGTCAGTTGTTAAAAATGGTTGGAATATGGAATTCTCTGCCATGAAAATTTGATAGGGACAAGCACTCACCATTGGGCTGCTGAACGCAGTGTGTTTGGAGAGGATGCTTGCCCTCTTGGCTTCTGCCCTGCTACCAGTCCTGCGGTGGGATTTGGTGCTCTGGCTCCTGAAAATGACTTTGGTGCTCTGGTAACTGGATGTGCTGTCACACCTCGGGATCGTCCCTGCCTTCGAGGTGCACTCCTCATCCTCGGACTCCGGCTCCTGGTACATTGCCAATCGCCGAGCTGGGAAAGCGGGAATGAAACACCGTGGAATTAACCCATCACTGGAAACTTCACAACGACAAAGGCTTTTTAAAAAAACGTGGTCAGCCGGGATGTACGACACTTGCAGAAACCCATCACTGTCCTCAAGAGTATCCAAACTAAACTGAGCGTTCCATGCATCCCACCTACATATCGAAATCCCTTAAAAAAAGTGCTTTAAATAATAATAATTTGGTCACTGAATTCACGACTGTTTGTGGGACACTGCTGCGTGCAATTGGCTGCCGCGTTTCGCCCACAAAATATATTCTGTGAAGCGCCCTGAGACTTCTGAATAACTTGATAAGGCACTACGTCAAATGCAAGAATTATTATTATTATTAAAATCATTGAAGGATGTGAGGAGTGAGCTGCAAAGTGGGCTGATTTAGGGATCAGATGCAGTGGCACAGACTCGGTGGACTGAATTCAATATAATTTACAATTTATACAGCGCCTTTCACGTCAGGAGGACTTCTCAAAGCACTCAACACTGCTGGCTGGGCGCCCGAGCTGAGAGTGGGAGCTGAAAATAGAGGGGAGGGGAAAGAATGGCTGAAGAGATGTCAAAGAGGTATGTTTTGAGACAACCTTGAGAGTGGTCGAATTCCATGCAGAAAATGTCTCCATTTCTACATGAGTTCATATTCAGTGCAGAACTCATAATGTATTGAGACCAGGGATTGAAACTTGAGTATTTTCCAAGCCAGCTACAGTCTTCAAAGGCTTCATCGTTAAGTAAAGTTTAGTGGTAAAATCATTGCTTCTGTTAAATTATTCACTTTCTCCATTTAATCACGGTGATCTTCTCCAATGGCATTTTTCTCTGTGATTTGGGGGTAAGTTCCCTTTGCAAAAGGTGAGCTTACCCTTTGTGAATGGATTCATTCTTTAAAGCACGGTGTCAGCCTGGCTCTCAACTGGTAGCATTTCTGTCTCTTAGAGATGGAATCAAGCCCCACGTCTGGACTTGGAATCACATAGTCTAAGCTGATACTCCAATGCCGTGTTGGTGGGGATGTTGCATTGTTAGAAGGGCTGTCCTTTGGATGAGACATTAAACCGAGGTCATGTTTGCCTGTTCAGGTGCTGTGTTAAATGCATGGATTACTGTAATTATAATAATAAATATAATAAGCCTTGCATTTGATATAGTGCCTTGTCAGAATGTTGAGATGTCTCAAAGCTCTTCATAGGATACATTGCAAAGTGAATTAACAGTGTATTTTGTGGGCAAGTTATTTTAATTATTTTATTAACGGGGCTGACCCCCTCCCTTTACCTCTCAGTCTCACAGCTCGTCTTGGCTCTACTGACAGCAGCAAAGTGGACTCACCATTGGCGTCGTGTGAGTACTCGACCCCAGCCACCGTGCACCTTCTGAAAACCATCTTGTTCTCTGTCAATGTGCCGGTTTTGTCAGAGAAGATGTATTGGATCTGCCCTAGGTCCTCGGTGATGTTCAGCGCCCGGCACTGCAGGTGAGAGTCAGTCTCTTCATCGTACAGGTCCACGTCTTGGTGGATGAAAAAGACTTGGCAAATTTTAACAACTTCGATGGAAACGTAGAGTGAAATTGGAATCAGCACCTGCAATGCGTAAAAAGTGAAAGTGAGAGAGAAATGTATAAACTGGAAATTAAACCCAAACCGGGAACTATTGTTAAGTCTGTAATCTGTGTACCAGTGTCAGATTCTGCAGTGTTATGACAATTATGTGTATCACCCACACAATATACAGACAACCCACTTTACTGTATACTTTGCAAAGTGCTTTGAGACGTCTCGACGACGTGATAAGATGCTATGTCAAATGCAAGTTTTTTTTTATTATTAAATCTTAATTATTACAAAAAATATTACATGACTGACATTGGGGTTGATTGAACAAATACAAAGAAAGAAAGAACGAAAGAAAGAAAGACAACTTGCATTTTATATCGAAGTGTCTCAAAGACATTCACAGACATTCATATTGTTAGAGATAATATCTACACTTTCATATGGAAATGCGGCTGGAATTTTGCATACTGCAGCTCCCCACATCTGGTGCAAGATATATTTATCTGGAGGAATGTGGGGCCAGGAAACTGGGAGAAAATGCCTTCTCATTTCACATAGCATTGTAGGATCTTTATCATCCTTACAATTAGTATTGCATCGTTCACGCGATCTCCCAAAGCACTTAAATAGATTTACTATAAAGTGTAGTAACTGTGTATATTGGAGGTGAACATGGAAACCAATTTGCGCACAGCAATGTCCACAAACAACCACAAAGTGAGTAACCAATTTTATCTAAGGGTTTCTTGGCCAGGACACCAGGAGAAACTCACTTCCATTTTCAAATATGCTACAGGATCTGAAATGTCCACCTGAACAGTCAGTCATGCCCTCAGTTTAATGTCTCATCCAAAGTACAGCACCTTCAATATAATGCTTCCCCCAGCACTGCAGTGGATTGTCATGCTAGACTAAGAGTTCAAAGGTCCGACTTGGGCTTGAACCTACAAGCTTCTGACTTGGAGGTGAGAGAGCTACCAACTGAGCCAGGCTGACTTCTTTAACATCCACATGAAAATAGGCAGGCAGGACCTCAGTTTCTTAATAAGCAGTATCACCACAATGAATAAAACTTTGCCCACGGTAGGAATCATAGAAATGATAGCACCGGAGGAGGCTGTTCAGCTCTTTGTACCTCTGAGCTATTCATTGGAGTCCTGTAGCTCAGTGGTTAGAATACTCGCCTCACAAGCGAGAGACCTGGGTTTATTCCCTGGCGGGGTGAAATGTTGGGCAAGTTTCCTTACTCCACACGCCTCTGCTTACCAAGCAGTAAGTAGGAACCCGGTTGTTAGTCAATTGGCGGATTGTTTTTAAGGGGGTAATAATTCTTTAAAAAAAAATGGGTCACTCAATCCACGACTGTTTGTGGGGCACTGCTGTGCGCAATTAGCCGCCGCGTTTCACCCACAAAATATACGGCAAATTGACTTTACAGTATATTCTTTGAAGTGCTTTGAGACGTCTCGAAGACGTGATAAGGCGCTACATCAAATGCAAGGATTATTATTATTATATTGGTATTACTCAGGAATGAAGCAATAACATCTTTTAAAATAATGAGATGACTGTGTGGAAATCAATAAACTTATGGTGAAGGAGGTTGTTTCGCAGTTAATGTGGCAGTCAATCTGCACCTGAAATGTCCCACTGAAATTCAAATTGATAAATTAAATATAATATAAAAGTCTGTTTGTTGAAAGGCCAGAATTATTATGCTTTTCCTCCTCAGTGTTCCCTTCAGGATCGCTGAGCTAGGCCACGGTGATTTGTTGCTGGTATCACCCATTCATCCTGTTTTTGTACAGTGAAATGGATCACCTTTATTACAGCTCGATCTCCATACAGCACGGTTGAAATGAAGAGTAGGAGGCTCGGATGAATGAATCACCAAATGCAAGGATTATTATTATTTGAATGAATTTGCTCAATTAATACACATCGCTACACTTTACACTATGGTCTCAACACCCACTCGCCCCATCTCCTCTCCACCACCCTTGCTCCACCTTATCTCTGAGACCTTCTTCAACCAGATTGACCTTGCTTCGCTCAGCAAACACTGGCCTGCTTCATGTCCCTGCTTTCAGCCACTTTGCCCCGGCTCTCTGGAACTCCTTTCCGGAGTTCCTCTTACTCGCTCCCTCCCTCCCTCCCCTCATCCCTCCTCGGACTTTGAACTCAGTCTCAGCTGACACTCCAATGCAGTGTTTGGTGAAGAGTTGAACTGTCGAAGGTGCCGTCCTTTGGATAAGACGTTAAACCTTGATAAGGTCCAATCTGCCTGTCTTAAAACATACCTCTTTGCCTGGGAATATGTATATAAGACCCTAAATATTTCCCTGCAAACAGCACTGACTTGGGCACCCAAGCTGGGGATGGGAGCCGAGGGGTGTGGGCAGGGGAAAGATGACCAAAAAGAGGTGGGTCTTGAGATGGATCTTGAATAAATGAGAGGCAAGTCGGACTGACTGTGGGATGGAGTTCCAGAGAGTGGGGGCAAAGGGGCTGAAAGCCCGAGATACATGACGATATACAAGCAAAAAACATAATACGTTTTTTTTGAGGCATTACCTGGAGCACAATTATCATTGTGAAGAACAAATACAATCCAGATAAAGTCGGAGGTAATTGGGTTCCACTGGAGTCGGGAACATCAAATGCTGGCCGCTGATCTCCGTACTGAGCTACCCACAGTCCGTGACCTGCACATCACAAGCACATTTAGGGTAAGTGATTTCATCAAACCACCAACATGACCCGCTCTGCCTTCCCCCACCTCTGCAACATCACCCTATTCTGACACCCCTCAGGCCACCGAAACCCTCATCCACGCATTCATCACTTCCAGACTCGACTACACCAACTCCCTGTTTGTCAGTCTTCCCAACTCCTCCCTCCACAAGCTACAGATTATTCTGATCTATGTAGTTTGTATCCTCTCCCACACCAGGCTCCATGAACCAATCACCCCCACCCTTGCCTGGTTCCTCTGGTTCCCCATCCCCCAGAGAGTAGAGTTCAAATCCTCATCCTTGCCTTCAAAACCCTTCTCGGCCTTGCTGCTCCCTACCTCTGGGACTGGCTAACTCCATACCAATCTGTCCACTCCCTCTGCTCAGCAGGCTCTGGCCTGCTCCATGCCCCCTGCCCAGTCCACCACACAATCACGGGAGGGCCTTCAGCCTCTCTACCACACCTTTTGGAACTCCACTCCACATTCCCTTGGCCTCGCCCCCTCCCTTGCTTCTTTGTCTCAAAACCCTTTTCAACCGTACCTTCGGTCACATTCTGACCTCAACCCTCCCTGCCCTACACTCCTTCTGATCCCAACCCAATAAAAGCCAATTCCCACCATTCAGCCCAGAATTTCTCAATGTCTCTCCAGCTCGAACCTGCAACCTCCTGGACTCCTGTAGCATAGTGGTTACCTCCCTCGCCTCGCAAGCGAGAGGACCCGAGTTCGATTCCGGGTTTGAAACCTTAGGCAAGTTTCCTTACTGCACCCGTCTGTTTACCCAGCAGGAATCAGAAACCCAGTTGTTAGTCGATTTGGAGCATCAATTTCTGGGTAATAATATCTCCAAAAAAAAATAAAAAATTTGGTCACTCAATCCACGACAATATCAGCTTGCATTTATAGAGCGCCCTTCACACGGGGCAGTGTCCCCGAGCGCTTGACAGTGGCGGAGTCTGAAAGGTAGAACCAAGTAGGAGAGCCTCTGGGAGAGAGGGAGGGGGGAGGTGACCATAAGCATGATCAAAAAGGAAGGTCGTTAGGCGGGATCTGAAGGTGGGGAGAGAGGGGCAAGGGGGAGGGATTGAGCGAGAGATTTCCAGAGACCAAGAGTTTCGGGGCTTATTGACTGAAGGCACAGCTGTCAACTGTGGAGGGGAGGGGATGAGGGGGTGAACAGGAAGCCAGAGCTGGCTGAGTGGAGGCAGCGGGTGGCGGAGTGAAGGGTCAGCAAATCGGATAGGCAGAGAGGTACGAGGGCATGAAGGGATTTGAAAATGAGTGACAGGATCTTGAAGTCAATCCATTCAGTAATTGGGAGCCAGTGGAGCCTGGCAAGGATTGGTGTGATGGGGTGATGGAGTTTTGGGTGGGTTAGTATTCAGGCAGGGGAGCTCTGAATTAATTGGATTTTTTGTTTTGTGGAGCTGGGGAGACCAGCGAGGAGGACATTGGAATAGACTAGCCAGGAAGTGACAAAGGCACAGACAAGGGTTTCGGCTGCTGTGGGTGTGAGATACGGACCGAGGCGGGCAAGGTGACAGAAGTAGAAAAAAGCAGATCCCGGTCGGGGAACAGATGTGTGATAGAAAGAAAAGCTGGGGATCGAACTTGACGCTTAAGTTGTGCATGGGTTCGGTGAGTGTGAGGGAGAGCCTGGGGAGGTTGAGGAGTTTGGACCTACAGGAGAGAAGACGCTGACTGGAGCCAAACGACTGCTTGGCTTGCAGTCAGTCCACTTTACAATATTTGCTGCGAAGCGCTTTGAGACGTGATAAAGTGCTGTATCAAATGCAAGGATTATTATTATTATTATCACTAGTGAGTGAGCCGAGCTGACGTGATTGTAACAGGATCAGTGCGCGACCAAGAGCAATGTTTTGGGATTACTCACAGATGGCAGAAAAGAGGCACATAGCGATAAGTATGATCACACACCAGAAGACATCTACATTCATGCGTCTCTCCAGCTTGCTGCGTTTGTAACGTGGCCCATTGTTATTCAGCATCGCTTTGGTATCATGACCTGGAAAGACATTTGGAGCAAAATTAGTGACAGGTATTGGACATACACACACATACACAACACACACACGCACACAGAGCTAAAGGGATCCAAACACACAAACCAGTGCAGCCTTCAAGGGCTGCTAATCGTCAACCAAATAATGCTGCATCACTCTATCAGGACATGTGCAAACCATTGGGTCCAGTCAGATAATAATAATGATCCTTGCATATGATATAGCGCCTTATCACGTTGTTGAGTTGTCTCAAAGCACAGAACGTACACGGCAAAGCGGATTTACTGTGTATTTTGTGGGGGAAACATGGCAGCCAATTGCGCAAAGCAGAGTCCCACAAACAGCCATGGAGTGAGAGACCAATTTTATTGAGGGGAATTATTGGTTTTTCAATGCATCACACACATCGCAATTTTCACATTTGGAACATTGGACTCGCTTAACAGCAGAGCAAAGGGCTCTCAACTCCGAGCAAAGGGACACAATAATAATCCTTGCATTTGACCAAGCACCTTATCACTTGTTTGAGATGTCTCAAGGTGCATCACAGCAGTGCATTACTGTAAAGTGAACTGTCTGTATATTTGTGGGCAAAACCCGGCAGCCAATTGCGGACAGCAGTGTCCCACAAACAGTCGTGGATTGAGTGACCAAATTATTTATTTTTTTTGAAGGAATTATTACACCTGGAAAAACAATCTGTCAATTGACTAACAACCGGGTTCCTACCTACTGCTAGGTAAATAGAGGCGTGTGGAGTAAGGAAACTTGCCCAACGTTTTGCCCTGCCCAGGAATCGATCCCAGGTCTCTCGCTTGCGAGGCGAATGCTCTAACCACTGAGCTACATGAACCGTACCTGCATAGATCACTATTCCCACCACCTCTTCCGTGTTCCTAATGGTGCATCCTCGGAGTAAGAGATTTTCTTTATTAAGTCCAGCTCGGTTCCCACTTTTGTACACTCTGCAAAAGAAGAAAGTTACATTAGAGAAGGCATCAAGAGCGGTGTCATATGACTCTGTAACATCAAGCAGGACTGTTGGACTCTGGGGCTCAGAACAAAGATTTGGTTGCCAGCCCTCTGGCCTCAGAGTCAGAAGGTTGTGGGTTCAAGTCCCACGTCAGGACTTTGAACTCACAGTCTATGCGGACATTCCAGTGCAATGGTGGGGGAGAGGAGGGAGAATTTGTTATTGCATCTTTCACGTCGACAGGATGTTTCAAAGCGCTTTGTAGAATTTTTTTTGTGGTCAGTGGTGTTCCCCAGAGGTCTGGACTTGGGCCTCAGCTTTTCACCATATATATAAATGACTTGGAAGAAGGAATAGAGAGTTGTATACCCAAATTTGCAGATGAAATAAAGTTAGGAGACACAGCAAGTCGTGTAGATGGGAGAAGGAAGTTACAAAGGGACTTAAACAGATCAAGTGAGTGGGCAACACTGTGGCAGTTGGAATTCAATGTGGGAAAGTGTGAGGTCATCCACTATAGATCTAAAAATAGCAAAACAGAATATTATCTAAATGGTGAGAAACTAATATCTGTGGAAAAGGGGTTTATGTACACACATCACTAAAACAGACTCCCAGTTTCAAAAAATTATCAAAAAGGCTAATGGGATGTTCGCCCTTATCTCAAAGGGGCTGGAATATAAAGGAGAGTAAATGATGCTTCAACTATATGGAGCCTTGGTCAGACCCCATCCAGAATACTGCGTTCAGTTTTGGGTACCACACACACCTCAGGAAGGATATATTGGCTCTGGAGGAGGTGCAGCGCGCATTCACCAGAATGGTAATAATATTAATCCTTGCATTTGATACGGCGCCTTATCACATCTTCGAGACGTCTCAAAGCACTTCACAGAATAGACCAGAAACTGAATTGACTGCATATTTTGTGGGCAGAACGCGGCAGCCAATTGCGCGCAGCGGTGTCCCACAAACAGCCGTGGAGTGAAGTGACCAAATTATTATGATTGATTTTTTTAAGGAATTCTTACCCTCGGAAAAGTGATCCGCCAATCGACTAACAACTGGGTTCCTACTTACTGCTGGGTAAACAGAGGCGTGTCGAGTAAGGAAACTTGCCCAGTGTTTCACCCTGCCTGGAATCAAACCCAGGTCTCGCGCTTGCGAGGCTAGTGCTCTAACCACTGAGCTACAGGACTCCACAGGACTCATCCCCGTGCTTAAGAGTATCCAAACCAAGCTGAGAATTCCAGGCATCCCACCTACACATGGAAATCCCAGAGATAGATCGCTGGAATGGAATGCGCTCTCTCTCCCTGGAGGGACGCCTCCTGCTTACCTAATTCGGGAAAGTATTAAACCAAAATTGCTATGTAAATCCTGTGTGTTCTGTTAGAGCTGTCCCGTTTGTGCACTTTGTTTCCCACACGTTGTTCACTGGATCCTATAATCTAAGATCGTCAAGCCTCAAAGCTAGAGATCAGAAGAGTTATTTTTCCCCAAAGAACCATGGAAGTGCGGAACAAACTCCCATAATGAGCAGATAGTGCTGGGCTGATTAAATCCTTTTAAAAACAAAGCTCGATAAACATCAGTGTAATAGGACTGAAGATTACGTTGATAATTTCAGACATCGCTTTTGTGATGTCTGAAATTATTTCAGAATTTAAATAATGTCAAACATTACTGAGTTATAATGTATAACTCAGTCTCCGTTCAGAGTAGATTGTAGTAGCATCATCCATCCCCCAGTTCACCATTCACCCCATGTCCAACTGTTTCCCCTTCCCCCCAGATTACTTGACGTAAGGAACACCTACCACCAAAACATCTGAGATTATTGGCAAACTATGCAGCAGTACCCCAACGCACACTCTGGGGTCCCCAAGCCTTGGCTCTTGCCAACCTTTGTCCCATGCTTTCCGGAATCAGGTAAACAGGATGCGTCGTTGAGATTATTAACTTTGAAAAGGGTCCTGGATAAATAGCTGTTTAGCGGAGCGTTTGAGGCAGAGTTTTCCAGAGTTTTGGGGTGTATGGCGGAAAGTACGGCTGCCAACGGTAGAGTGGAAAGGGGGAACAAAGCAATGCAAGTTGCTGTTGTTTTTTACGAGCAGGATTGGAGTTTTAGGAATAAGATGAATAATATTCCTTGCATGTTAATACAACAACAATTTGCATTTAGCTTGCGCCCTTCACAATGGTAGCGTCTCGGAGATGTTGAACAGTGGCGGAGTTTGACAGCAAGCCGGGAGGTGACTGTAGGCCCTGTCAAAGAGGAAGGTCTTCAGGTGTGATATGAAGATGGGCGAGGAGGGGACAGGGCAGAAGGTTTGAGGCAGAGAGTTCCAAGGTTTGGGGGCGTAGTGACTGAAAGCACGGTGAAAAGGAAGAGTGACAAAGGTATATGCAGAAGGCCGGAGCCAGCTGAGCGAAGGGGGTGGGTGGTGGAAGTGGTGTGTGAGCAGAACAGAGATGTAGGGAGGTACTGGAGCGTGAGCCAGTGGAGCCGGGTAAGGATTGGGGTGATGGGGGTGTGGAGCCTGGTACAGGGGAGAATACGGGCAGCAGAATTTTGGATCAATGGCTTATCACCTCGTCAAGTGGTCTCAACGCTCTTCACAGAATTTTAATTGGAGTCACTGTGTATTTTTTAGGTGAACCCAACAGTTAATTTGCGCACTGCAGTGTCCCATAAACAGCCATAAAGTGAATGACGAATTTTATTTGAAGCCAGGAAACCAGGAGAAACTCCCTTTCCTTTTCAACAAAGCCGGGCTAACACATATATTCCTCAATTCCTTCTCGCTCTTGAAGCACAGCCAGTTACGATAGGTGTCTCCCTAACCCATTTATATTGTCCACATCAATAACGTTCCCTGGTAACTTCAATCAGTCTGGCAGAGTCTATATTTCTTGACTCAGAGTTGTGACTAAGTTAGACTCAATTCGTCTAGGCTGACATTCCTGTGGTGCCTTGTCAGAGGTGCCATCCTTCGGCTGAGATAGCAACAACAATAACAAAATACATTTGTATAGCGCCTTTCACGTCGGAAGGATGTCCCAAGGCACTGGGCGTTTAACCTAGGCCTTGTCTGTCTGTTCAGGTGGACGTTAAAGATCCCGTGGCACTATTTGAAAAGAGAAGGGAGTTTCTCTCTCCTTGTGTCCTGGCCAACAATCCCCCAAATACAATTGGTGATTCATTCCATGAGGTTTGAGACGTCCTCCTCATGTGAATACCAAATGTAAGGATTATTATTTATATATTGACACAACAAAAGAGTGAACAAAGTAGCGACACCACTACTTCTGGTGCATTAAGCGCTCTAGGACTCTACCCTGCATGAGAGGTGCTATATAAATGTAAGTTGTTATTGTTATTTTGCTGGATTAGGGAAACCATCCATTGGGTGTATTTACTGTATGTTAATCTCCCCACAAACAAGCTGCAAATTGCACAGGACTGAGGCATCTCCACTTGTGTTGTTTGATAACGAGCGCTTCGTCAGAATGGCTGGGATAGTGCTCCTCCGTCTCCTCATCCTCACCATCCTGTGCTAACATTGGATGACAGTTAGAAACTAAAATATTGGTTAGATCACTCGTCTACAAACGAGAAGACCTGGGTTCGATTCCCGGGCAGAGCAAAAACTTAGGCATGTTTCCTTACTCCACAGTTCTCTGTTTACTCAGCCGTAAGCAGGAACCCGGTCGGTTGTTAGTCAATTGGCAGATCGCTTTCCGTAGGTAATAATCCCTCCAAAAAAAGAATTTGGTCACTCAATCCACGACTGTTCGTGGGACACTGCTGTGGGTAATTAATTGGCTGTTGCGTTTCGTAATATATTCTGTGAAGTGCTTTGAGACGTCTCGACAAAGTGATCAGGCGCTATAGCAAATGCAAGCATCATCATTATTATTATTATCATTATAACATCGGGTGTCAGCCTGGCTCCACTGGTAATAAATACCCTCGCTTCTTGTTGAAGTTACTTCAGTTCGAAATGGAATAAACAAAATGTACTGGAGCAGAAGGAGGACCAAAATGTCAGCAAAACACTTCATTGCTGATTGCCAACATCCACAACCCATTTAGGAACCAGCGATGGACAGATCTGCACGTAGCATGGACTGCACTTTATAGTAGCCAGGCACCAGCAGCCTAATAAAGCACAGGGAGCATCTGGTTTCTCTCAGACTGAGAAACAAATGTCACATTCATTTGTGCTAAATCGACTAATAGCTGCCTCTCCCTTTGTTGCCATCAGACCTCGTCGGCCTTTAATGTGATAATAATCTTTGGGTTTGATACAGTGCCTTCCACATTGGGGCGGACATTTCAAAGTGGCTCACTACACATATGCTAAAGTGGAGTGACTGTGGATTTCGTAGGCAATTTGCCCACAATATCCTGTGAATGACCGTTAAGTGAATGACCTATTAATGAATACATTTTTTTTCTTTATTAGGGGGATTGTTGGCTAGGAATTGGGAGAAACGCCTTTCACTTTTCAAATAGCGTCATGGGATCTTTAAAGTCCACCTGAACAGGCAGACAGGTTCTTGGTTCATCCGAGAAATGGCACACCACAATGTGTGAGTTCAAATTCCTGACGTGGGATTTATACTGACAACCTCCGAACTCAAGAGATGAAAGTGCTATCGACCAAGCCGAGCTGTCACCCTTCGTTGCAATGGATACAACTGCCAAAGGTAAGACCTTTGCACAACAGCGGAGTGGGATGTGATTGCTCAAACCACGAGGAACAAACTGAACACAAAGAGTTGGCTAAAATCGGTTGGTTACACCTCTGCAGCAAAAACAACAACAACAACAATGACAAAACAACCACAACACCAACAACCACACCAATAACCAAACAACAAATTGAGTTGATATAGCACCCTTCAGTTATGATAATAAAAAATAATAACCCTTGCATTTGATATAGGACCTTATCACATCTCCGAAAAGTCTCAAAGGGCTTCACAGGATCTATTGTAGAGTGAATTGACTGGATATTTTGTGGGCGAAACGTGGCGGCCAATTGCGTACAGCAGTGTCCCACAAACAGTCGTGGATTGAGTGAACAAATCGTTATTGATTGAATTATTCTGAAGGGTTTATTACCCCAGAAAACCGATCCGCCAATCGACTAACAACCGGGTTCCCATTTATAACTAGGTAAACAGAGGCATGTGGAATAAGGAAACTTGCCCAACGTATCACCCTGCCCGGGAGGTGAATACTTTAGAGCAACATCTCAGAGTGCTTCACAGAGACGAGGTCACATACAAGCTGGGCAGAAATTACCAATTCCACAAATACTTTCCTGTGAGTACTGGAAGGTGGAATGCAATTTGGTCAAATTTCAAAGGGAAGATTCCGATATTCCCAAAATATCTTAAATAAAAATAACATACAATGAAATAGAAAGTTGTTTTTTTCCGTAGCTTCTAGGCAATTACTCTGGGAAGGTTTAGTTGTGACAAAACTAAAAATTACATTTCTGTAGCACACTTCAGATAAGATAACATTTCAGAGTGTTTCAGAGTCGACACCAAGGGAGGGAGTGGCAAAGGTAATAATATAATAATAATCCTTGCATTTGATAGAGCAATCCCTCTGCCTAACCCCTCTTTGCTTGCCTTCAGATCACATATAAAGATTTTCCTCTTCGATCGTACCATCACTCCCCCTCCTCCTGGTTTGACATTAAGCTACGCCATTGTTAAGCGCTCTGACACACTACCACGCTTGATGGGTGCTATATACCGTAGGTGCAAACTGTGGTGGATTTTGTAAGTGCGAAAGGCGCTAAACAAATGTAATTTGGTTGTTGTTGTAGATCTACCACAGTCACCAAGAGAAGACTTGTAGCCCCTATTGTGGCTACTGGATACAGCGATCATTATGAGAACACTGCATGTGTATCTTAGACAGAGCTCCGTTAAGAAAGCCGCAGCTTGCTTTGTGGAGCTGAGGGATACTTACATGTGGCCTTGAAATCTGTTGAGATTGTTGTTCGGCTTTTCACATTCGATTACGCTGTTAAACTTCATGGGGTCAAACTCGGTCTCCTAAACACGCACAAAAGGAAAAGGGCTATAGGTTAGTAAGCACATTGGTTCCACCTGCTATTTCTCAAAGATTCTGTTTTGGCAAGACTTGGAGTGTTCGACTGTGAAATGATTCCTCCTGCTCAGGCGATGTTAATAAAGATGCCGTGGAGCTATTTCTAAAAGGGAAGTTCTTCCCCATGACCTGCCCAACAATTCCCCCAAATAATATCGGTCACTCGTATCATATCAAATGTAAGATTTGATCATTTTCACACTGGGAGGACGTCTCAAAGCGCTTCCACTGGATTTTACTGTAAAGTGGAGTGACTGTGGATTTTGTCAGCGAAACAAGCTGCCAATTTGTGCACAGCAATGCCCCACAAGCAGCCATGAAGTGAGTGACCAATTTTATCAACCAACCGAAGAGGCGGATGGGACCTTGGTTTAACGCCTCATCTGAAGGACAGTACCTCCGACAATGCAACACCACCCAGCACTGCATCAGAGTGTCAGCTTAGACTGTATGGGTTTCAAGTCCTGACGTCAGGGCTTGAACCCACAACCTTCTATCTCAGGGGTGAGAGAGCGACCATTGCGCCAGGCTGACACATGAGGAATTATGAGGAGGCGGAGGAGAAGAAAATTGCACGAACCCAGGAGCTGCCATGTGATACACAGCCATCTTCAGATTCTGCATCACATGCTCTGTCACTGGCTTATCAGTGCCGTGAGCAATGGCAAGGATTCATCTTAAAACCACAAGCGGAGAACGCTCAGTGGGGGGATTTATAGGACTGCCAGTCGCTAGATCCCACTGGTGGTTTTGAACAGATTCTGACCCAGATAATTAAAATATTAACAAGCCTTGCATTTGGTATAGGGCCTTATCGTGTGGTCAAGCTGTCTCAAAGCGCTTCACAAAATTATACTGCACATGTCTATGTAGTGAATGGTGTCTTTTGTAGGTGGACGCTTAAAAAATCTTTGCCAGTTTCTTATTAAATAACAGCAACAACAACGTTATAGAGTACTCTTCAGATAGGGTTTGATGCTTTGTGTAGAGATAGTCACTGAGCCAGGGAGTTTGGGGTAGGGGGTAGATGATTTAAAGCATTGGTCAAGAGGTAGGTTTTCCGTGGGCTTCTGAAGAGAGGCAGAGATGCAGGGATTTGGGAAATGAGTTCCAAAAGGTGGGGTTGTTGTGGCTGAAGGCTTGGCTGATGGTGAGGAGGGGAGAGGGTGGGTGAGGGGTGTAAAGAAGGCCTGAGTTTGCCGAGTGGAGGGGGTGGATGTTTGGAGGGGCGATGTAGGACAGTGAGACTGAAGAAAGTCACAGAGAGAAGTCACAGCCGTGCTGGGATTTATAGGTTCCTCCACACATATATCACTGTGCTACACTGTACACTTGGTACTGTTCCAATATCAAAGAGAAAGTTAGTACAGTGCCTTGTGTTTAATTATTATTATTACGATTCACCCAATAAAATAAAGATCACTCTCTACTGACTGGGACATTGCTGTGTAATTGGCTGCCACAAAATCCACAGTTAATCCACGTTACAGCACATGGTTTGAAACGTCTCAATTACTTGAGTAGGCGCGATATCAAATGCAGGGATTAAAGATCCTGTGGTGAGACTCAAGAAGGGAAAGGAGTTTCTCCCCGGTGTCCTGGCCAACAATCTACCCAGACTTAAATTAATTGATCATTGGTCGTTCGTGGGAAATCGCTGCACACAAAGTCACACGGATGAGACGTTAAACTGAGGACCTGTTTGCCTCTTCAGATGGATGATAAAAATCGCATGACACTATTCAAAAAGAGAAGGGAGTTTCTCTCTCACAGTGTCCTGACCAACAATCCCCCAAGTAAAATTAGTCACCCACTCCCACGGCTGTCTGTGGGACATTACTGTGGGTAAATTGCTGCTTTTTGCCCACAATCAATCAATCAATCAATCCACTTTACAGTGCAACTTGAGAAGCGTATTGAGACGTCTCAAAGACGTGATAAGGTGGTACATCAAATGCAAGGAATATTATTATTATTAGAAACACAGCTAGAGTCAGTCACTGACTTCCTGCTCGGCATTATGCACTACACAATTTTTTAAAATGTAAAAATGCGTCTTGCTTACATTGAAACTAACCAGCTGTAATTTAATTGTGGAAGTCAGATGACATTTATAAATCTTGAAGCGTTACTCAGTTCTTTTATCTTCTGTCTAGCGGTGTCTCGCCTGCTCTTTTAAGGATTAATCCATAAATCAAATCAATGGATCAACCAGCTCACGATTCTTCTGAATTATGACTGTTTGAAAATAAAGAAGCAGCAACCAGCAGGGACACTTCCACAGAGATTCATAGCATCTGCTAGCGTAGAGAAATGTGTGGTCTCAATCATAATATAACCCTTGCATTTGATATAGCGCCTTATCACATCGTTGAGACATCTCAAAGCGCTTCACAGAATATACTGTAAAGTATGTTTTGTGGGTGAAACGCGGCAGCCAATTGCATACAGCAGTGTCCTACAAACAGTCATGGATTACGTGACCAAATTATTATTTAACATTTTTTTTTGAAGGGATTATCATCCCCGGAAAAGCGATCCACCAATCGACTAAAAACGTGTTTCTACTTACTGCTCGGTAAACCGAGGCGCGTGGAGTAAGGAAACTTGCCCAACATTTGGCCCTGCCAGGGAATCAAACCCAGGTCCTCTCGCTTGCGAGGCGAGTGCTGTAAAACCACTGAGCTACAGGACTCCACACTAAGCTCTGATTTAAGTGCTCCAAGAGGTCACCCCGTGTAAATAAGCGCTATATAAATACAAGTTGTTTCTGTTAATTAAGCCGAGTTGGGTATGTGTTAAAGAACGTGCTTGGCTCAGGCCAGAAACTATTGGTATCACTATTTGTATCCATTATTCCCAAAGGACAAGAAAGAAGATTCCCAATCCTAATGGGTTGGACAGTTTTTTGGACCTCAGTAATGTGCAACACTGGAAAAGACACTTAACATCCATCCCATCGCTCCCAAAACATCAGTCGTGTACTAATCCAGCATTTACATCCCACAATTGTTTTCTGGTCAGCTGGATGTCTGACACAAACCCATCACCTCGCTCAAGGGTATCCAAACCAGTCTGAGAATTCTTGTGTAAATGGTCTCAGCTGGACGAGCCGTGGGAAGCTTGACAATGTTCACATGTCGTGCGGTACTCTCAACGAACGCATCCCCAAACCTTGGCTCTCGCCAACCTGTGCCTAATACCCTCGGGGATTAAGTGAACAGGGTCCTTTCCATCAAAGGAGAGAGCGTGCACTCCATTTCAGCCACAGGGAAAAATCGTGAGCAGCCAGAACTCTGGTTTGCCTTATTTACTTTTCAGTGTGGCTATGGTGTGCTGCGTGCGTTGGACACCCGGCTGACCAAAAGAATAAAAAAACTTAACAGGCGTTTAGCAGCAACTAAAGGAGCTTTATGCACACACCTACAAAAAAAATCTGAGTCATTCAATCCACGACTGTTTGTGGGACACTGCTGTGTGCAATTGGTTCCCACGGTTCGCCCACAAATTACAGTCGATTAACTTTAAGATATATTCTATTACACGCTTTGAGACGTCTCAATGACGTGATGAGGCGCTATGTCAAATAAAAATATTATTATTACTAAATGCACACGCACACAACAACAACAACAACAAATTACATTTGCCTCGCGCCTCCCAAGATGCTGGACAGTCAAAGATTTGCACCTGAACTGGGAGTTAGGATCTGGAGGGGCGGAGGGCGGGGAGGGATAGTGCATAGTGCACGCTCGCTTCACAAATATGCAGTCACTGCACGTTACACAAAAAATCTGTTGAAGCACTTTGAGACATTGACACCACAATAAGGCGCTGTGCATTGTATTTTATACTTAAAAAAAGCTTTAATGGTTCCTTAAACATGCTAGAATGAAGCAGGACACTCAGCTACCAGTGAGCCAAGGTCTCTGCAGGAAATAACATGAATTCCAAGCTCCCCAAAATAAACCCAAAGGCCAAAGTGATTCACTGACGTGTTGGATCAGACAAGCAAAGTCTAGGCTTGAGTCCAGCAATACTTTTTCTTATAGTAATTTATTCCTCCGACTTTAAACAATATGGAAAATCCACACAAGGTTAGCTACAGGGTGCAGGTATGTCATTCTGGCTCAGTTGGCAGTTCTCTGGCCTCTGAGGGAGAAGGTTGTAGGTTCAAGCCCCCTGTACAGGCTTTGAACTCATATGGTCCAGGCTGACACTCCATTACAATGATGAGGGAGCACTGCATTGTTGGGAGATGTCGTCTTTAGGGCGAGATGTTAAACTGAGGTCCCATCTGCCTGTTCAAATGTATATTAAAGATTTCATGGCTTTATTCGAAAAGTGAAGGGAGTTTCCCTCTCCTGATGTCCTGGCCAACAATCCCCCAGAGAAAATTGGTCACTCACTTCACGGCTGTTCATGGGACATTGCTGTGTGCGCAACAATGCAGCATTCCCCAGGAACTGCATCAGAGTATCAGCCTGCACCATGTGAGATCAAAGTCCCGACATGGGGGCTTGAGCCAACAACTTTTTGACTACGTGGCAAGAGTGCTACCAACCGAGCCAGCCTGACAACTCATTGCCTGACAGTATTCCAGTGACTACCCTTGGTTTGTGAAAGGCTCCAAGTGGAGTCCTGCAGAGTGTTGATTAAAGCACTCTCCTCATAGGTGAGAAGACCTGAGTTCAATTCCCAGGATGGGCGAAACCTTGGGCAAGTTTCCTTATTAAACATGTGTTTACCTAGTAATACCTGGTTGTTAATCAGTTGGCGGATGGCTTTCTGTGGGTAATAATCCCAACAAAAAAAATTGGTTCACCCAATACGCGACTGTTTGTACACATTTACTGCCGTGTTTCGTCTACAAAATACACAGTCACTACACTTTACAATATATTCTGTGAAGTGCTTTGAGACAGCGTTGCATCAAATGTAACAACAACAGCAACAACAAGATCACATTTGCATAGCGCCTTTCACGTCGGGAGGACGTCCCAAGGCATTGGACAATCAGGGTTTCGGATCCGAGCTGGGGGTCGGGATCGGGGATAGTGGAGAACAGGGGTGGGAAGGAGGGTGACTGAACCCATAGTCGAAGAAGAGCATCTTGAGACGGGTCTTGAAGGAGGCAAGGAAGGGGCAAGGCGGAGGGACTGCGGGATGGAGTTCCTGAGGGTGGGGGCAGAGTGGCAGAAGGCCCACCCGCAATGATGGGACAGGCGAGGTGGGGGACGTGAAGCAGACTGGAGCCCGCTGAGCTGAAGGAGCAGGCAGATTGGTGGGGGAGGGTTAGGAGGTCGCAGAGGTAGGGGGGAGCAAGGCCATGGAGGGCTTTCAAGGTGAGGACCAGGATCTTGAACTGTATCCTTTGTGTGATGGCAAGTCAGCGGAGTTTGGCGAGGATGGGGGTAATAGGGTCACGGAGCCTGGTGCAGGAGAGGACACGGGCTGCAGAGTTCTGGATGATCTGCAGCCTGCGAAGGGAGATGTTGGGGATGCAGACAAGTAGGGCGTTGGCATAGTCGAGCTATAAGTATGTCTGTAAATCTGATTGTAAGTTGCCCAAGCCATGCTTACCATCTCTGAGAAACCTTTAACAACCTGCCTCTGCTTCAGGTTGGTCTCTCCGTCCAGGTTGGCGGTTTCGATGTGGCAAAGCCCATCAGGGTCGCTGGAGTTCAACAGGAGGATGTCAGCGGGAATGATCTCATTACATCTCAGGCGCACAAAGTCCCCAACCTCCACTTCTTTCCAGTATTTCTCCACGTATTTCTTTTCATTCCTTGTAGGAGAAACAAGAGACACCGGTCATGCGATTGCGGGCACATTGGCAGGCAGGTATGTGCAAATTTGCTGCCTGCAGAATATATAGTCATTGCACTTCAAAGTCACTACACCAAGACAAAAGAACAACAATAATAATAATAATCCTTGCGTTTGATAGAGCACCTTATCCCGTCTTCTAGACGTCTAAAAGCACTTCACAAATTATACTGTAAAGTGAATTGACTGTATATTTGCGGGCAAAACACAGCAGCCAATTGCCCACATCAGTGTCCCACAGACAGTTGTGGATTGAGTGACCAATTTATTATTATTTTTTTTGAAGGAATTATTACCCCCGGAAAAGCAATACACCAATCGACTAACAACCAGGTTCCTACTTACTGCTGAGTAAACAGAGGTGTGTGGAGTATAGAAACTTGCCCAACATTTCACTCTGCCGGGAATAGAACCCAGGTCTCTCGCTTGCGAGGCAAGTGCTCTAACCACTGAGCTACAGGACTCCACGAGAGCTACAGAACAAATGGATATAGAGCTCAAAAGGGCAATTTCAGGACAGATGCCATGATCTTATAGAATGGCGCAACAGGCTCGAGGGGCTGAACGGCCTACTCCTGTTCCTATGTTCCTATGCTAGGAAGCTTTTTCTTTACTCAGAAGATAATTAACATGAACAGAATTGTCAGGAAAGGTGGGTGAGACCAGGAGACTGGGAGTCATTTAAAAAGCTGCTTGGTGCTGTGATGGGAGGGGGATTGGGGAGGTGGGTGTTTTGGAAGCCTTCAGTTCCTACGCTCCTGATCTCTGGAACTCCCTTTCCCTATTCCCCCGTCTCGCCCTCTCTCCTTGCGTCTTTAAATCCGGGCTGAAATTTTTTTCTCTTTGAATCAAAACCAATCTTGTGATCCTTTGGGCTAAAATCCTGCAAAATCCTTTGAAACGCCCTCGCAATGAATGGCTCAAATGACTAATCTTGTTAAAAAAAAATTACATTGCAGAAACACTTTACCAGGATTTGAATTCATGATCTCTGGGTTCCTACTCCAGTATAGTTACCATTACGCCGCCATACCCCCATGCCTTGTATTTAAGGAGAGTGGTACATTTTAGGGTACCCTCACGCAGGGTAGCATCTGCGACGCTATGCTGTGTGAGGGGCGCTATATAAAAGCAAGTTGTTGTGTAGTTACATTTTAAACCTTAGAAACCCACGATGCAGGAGTCAGCCGTTCAACCCATTGTGCTCGTAATTTCCAACAAAGCTGCCCGTCTTGACCTTAATTCCCTTTTACTCCTCTGCTCACCCCTTTGCACAGCTAAGTCGAACTTGTTGCTCACACCCCTACACCCCCACCCTTCGTTTTTTGTCAGGATAAGCTTCTACGCTCCTGACCTCTGGAACTCCCTTTCCCTATCCCTCCGTCTCGCCCTGTCTCCTTGCGTCCTTGTGGAGTCCTGTAGCTCAGTGGTTGCAAATGAGAGACCTGAGTTCAATTCCAGGCAGGTCAGTGCGAAACCTTGGGCAAGTTTCCTTACTCCACACAGAGCCTAATAATAATCCCTCCAAAACCAAAAACAATAATTAAATTGGTCATTTTCAATCAACAACTGTTTGTGGGACATTGCTGTGCGCAATTGGCTGCCGCGTTTGCCCACAAATATACAGTCAATTCACTTTACAGTGTGTTCTGTGAAGCACTTTGGGACGTCCTCCCGACGTGAAAAGCGCTATATCAAATGCAAGGATTATTATTATTATTATTTAAATTCGGGCTTAAATTTTATCTGTTTGAATGGGCCTATGTCCATCGCACACTCCCTCTCCCCCCACCTCCCCATTCCTTTGCTCGGTATCGAACCCTGTGAAGCGCTCTGAGATCCAACTTCCAACTCACGTGCAACCCCTCCAGATTGTTATAATGATAATAATGCTTGCATTTGATATATTCCCTTATCATGTCTTTGAGGCGTCTAAAAGCGCTTCACAGGATATGCTGTAAAGTGAATTGACTGTTGTTCTGAAGCGTCCTCTGTAGCACCTTGGGACATCCTCCTGGGGTAAAAAAAAATGCCATTTGTTGCTGCTGTTGTAAATTTCTACAATTCTATGATCCTCTAACCTTCCTCTGCTGGTTTTGTAATTTACTTTTAATTCCCTCAATCTATTCTCGTCTGGCAAATCATTCTGTAATCTGGCATACAGCTGGGAAAAAATATTTTTTCTCCTAACTTCCCCCTTTCACCCTCCTGGTTCTAATTTTAAATTCATGCTATCTTGTCCTTGAATCAACTCTGAGCAGGACATTTATCCTATTGATAATAGGTTATCCGATTGATTGAAGCACTGTGTTACAATAAAAACTTGATGATCACATTTAACAAAGCATTAAAAAAAATCCTGTAGCACTATTCGAAAAGTCCAGGTTTCCTAACCAACAATTGCCCCAAATTAAAATCTTTCATTCGCTTCAGGGCTGTTTTTCCGAGACCCTGCCTCGCGTGAAGATCGCTATGCAACAACAAATTTACATTGGTATAGTGCCTTTCACGTCGGGAGGACGTCCCAAGGTGCTGTGACAATCAGAGTTTCGTAGCTGGGGGTCAGGATTGGGGAGGGTAGGGGGGAAGCAGGGTGATGGAAAGCATGATCGAAGAGGAGGGTCTTGAGATGCGTCTTGAAGGAGACTGCGGGCTGAAGTTCCAGAGGATGGGGGCAGAGTGGCTGAAGACCCACCCGCCAATAGTTGGGCGAGCGAGGTGGGGGACATGAAGCAGGCCAGAGAGCCCGCTGAGCGGAGGAGCGAGCAGGATGGTAGGGGTTTAGGAGGTCACAGAGGTAGGTGGGAGCAAGTCCATGGAGGGCTTTGAAGGTGAGGACCAGGATCTTGAACTGTATCCTGTATAGAGGGAGGAGTTGGGGAAGCCGACCGGCAAGGAGTTTGCATAGTCAAGCCTGGATGCATTGAAAGAGTGTATACAAATGCAAGGTGGCGGTGCTGTTTGTAGGATGTAGCTGTGTGCAAATTGGCAGTCGGCTTTGCCTACAAAATACAGTCGCTACACTTTACAGTAAATCTGATGAAGCGCTTTTGAGACTTTTAGGCTTTACAGAAGTAAAGGTTATTATACAGCTCAGCCCCATTAGATCGCAAGTCTTTATAGCACTGATTTGGTTATAATGCGGGGAACGACTCCATTCATTCCGTAGTTGCCCTGACAACCCGATCGCTTGCTCCGTGCGAGAGTGGCGGTTCATTAGGTCGCTGCCGACATCATTTCTTGCTTGGCGCACGAGCAGCAAACAGGAAGTGATATTGGCGGTGACACGAAAGTCGGCCATTTTTCTTTTCGTTTTTGCCCGGAAACTGACCACTGCGCAGTGAGCAGACTGCAGACATCCCCAGGGAAACCGGCCATGGGGGTCAGTTGGGACATTGCGTGGGGTCAGAGACAAGTTTACTCTGGTTGTAAAATTCCATTCCTGGGGTCTGTCTGTGCTGTAACGTTCTGTGATCCACAATCTGGTTCCCTAACGCCTCCTTACAGCTCGTTTACCTTGGCACCACACCACATACTCGAGTGTTGGCAGACTAAACAGTAACAACAATGCGGAGGTTGGGAGCAGGAGGAAGGCGATTCCAGCCTGGACTCCATCACCTCTTCCTCTCTTAGGTTACCGTGGCAACGAGTGATCCAACACTCAAGCAGCGCCTTTGCCAACAGTAATAATAATGCCATAATAATCCTTGCACTTGATATATTACTCCTAGCAACGTATAATAATAATCCCTGCATTTGACGTAGCGCCTTATCACGTCTTCAAGGAGTTCAAAGTCTCGAAGACGTGTCAAATAATAATCTTTGCTTCTGTGCAGAACATACTTCAAGTGAATTGGCTGTATATTTTGTGGGTGAAACACGGCAGCCAATTGTGCACAGCAGGTGTCCCACAAACAGTCGTGGATTGAGTGATCAATTTTTTTTGAAGGAATTATTACCTCTGGAAAAGCGATCCGCCAACTGCTTTATCAGAGTTTTGAAGCTGTTTAATGTAAAACATAGCGACTCGAGTATTTAGTAGGTGAACACAGCAGCCAATTAGCACACAGCAATGTCCCCACAAACAGCCATGAAGTGAACAACCAACTTTTATTTGAGGACTGTTGGCCAGGACACTGGGAGAAATTCCTTTCCCTTTTGGAACAATGACTTGGGATCCTTTACATCCACCTGAACAGGCAGACTGGACCTCGGTTTAATATCTCATGCAAAGGACGTCACTTCCAACATTGCAATGCTCCCCCAGCACTGCATTGGAGTATCGGGGTACATTATGAGCTCAAAGTCCTGACAACAACAAATTGGATTTATATAGTGCCTTTTACGTTAAGAGGACGTCCCAAGGAGCTAGAGTTTGCACCCAAGCTGGGATTGGAATCAGCAGGGGTCGAGGGCAAGAGGGGTGTGTGCGGGTAGATGACCGAAGGCATGGTCAAAAAGGAAGGTCTTAAGACAGGCCTTGAAGGAGGGAAGGGTGGAGGGAGGCTTGAGCCAACAGCCTTTTTGCTAACTGGCTACCAACTGTGCCAGGCTGACACCGTGCTTTAAAGAAAGAATCCATTCGCAAAGGGTAAGCTTTTCACAGGAGCCACGAGTTATCCAATAACTTACCCACAAATCACAGAGAAAAATGGCATTGGAAAAGGTCATGGTGATTAAGTGGAGACAAGTGAATAATTCAACAGAAGCAATAACTTTATCACTGGTCTTTACTTTGAAGCATTTGAAGACTACAGCCAGATTGGGAAATACGCAGATTTCAATCTCTAGAATCATAGAATCCCACAGCACAGAAGGAAGTCATTCGGCCCATTGTGCCTGTGCCGGCTCTTTGAAAGAGCTATCCAATTAGTCCCACTCCCCCGCTCTTTCCCCATAGCCTTGTAAATTATTCGTCTCCTGCAAATATCCAATTCCCTTTCGAAAGTTATTATTGAC